GGGCCCCGTGCTCTCCGGAGTGGTCTCTGTGGCCTGGCATGGACTGAGGTTTCAGGGTTCATTCCCTGGTCTTGATGTGCTGTCGGCGTATTGCTGTGTTCGATTCCCCTCGGTGCATTTGACTGTGTAAACCTTCTGTTGTTCTTTTTTTTTTTTGCGTGTGTGTGGAGAGTATGTTCTGTTAGAACAAAAAGAATATAAAACAATGTGGTGATTTTACCATATTGTGCAGCTCTTATAATTTTGTATAACATGATAATAATGTTTTGCTGTTACAGGCCTGTATTGTACTGTACTACATACCACTACAGTTTACTGTATTAAAGCATAATGGCATAATAAAACATTTTAAAAAAGTAGAAAGATTGGTAATGTGCCTGAAATTCTAGATTTTGCCCACTTGGACAATCTGGAACATAACTATATCTGTAGTAGCTGTATGTGGCCTTTGGTGTGGCCCCTTTGTGACTTTGAGTGCTGCAACGGCATCAGTAAATAAAAATGATTAATCTTCTGCTTACATTTTTATAGTGGGAACAATAATGAAGTGTATGTATGTATGAATGCAGGGCAATTCAATTTTTTCTGCAGTTATGCTTTACCTTCAGTGAAATCAGTGGACACCCACCAGGCAAATCATACACTATTCAATATTCTTTTCAGGTCCTGGCATAATAGCCTTGATGATGAGAGGAATTGGGAATGAGAGTATGGATTTAACATGGGCAGCACATTGAAGGATGGCATCATGCCCTACAATACCAGCAGCAGTGCTTTGTACACCAACATTACAACCCCTCTTTCCTCATTTTTCTTCCTAATGCCAGGTCATGTATTCTATTACACCACTTAATTACTACCAAACATTGTAGATATTTATGCAGACTTTAACTTCTCATCATTTGAAGGAGTCATCATCAAAAACTATGTAATTCAGCTGGTACTTCATTGAAAAATCTTTACACTGCGGTAATGGTAGAGATGGGAATGGCGTTGTCCACCCTTGGGGAATGTGCAGCTCATAATTACAGAGATTCTCATCTAGAGTGGGAGGCCCAGAATGAAATTGTGCAATCTTTGGCTCTGTGACACAAAAATTACTCATCCTACTGTCACTACGCCTAAGTTTCTCACATGAACACAAAACAAGCTAATCTAAATATATGATACAGTACATACTGTACATAGACTAGAGTGTAACAGAAAGATAAATAGACAATTTGGAGGACAAACTTGAAAACATGATGACTGTTTTTTCCATGTACGACCTAATATTCATCTCTATGTGTTTATTTTCAATAAGCTCCCCATCACACACACAAACAATATATGATGCAGTATAAATGAATTATATTGATTTCTGCAGAATCTACAGGGTCTTTTTCCTCTTGCACAACTAGAAGAACTGTTCCTACTGCCTCTCTTGCCTCAAGGAGTGATAAGTGAGTTGACCTAAATTGGGCCAAATCAGTGACCAAGACATCAGAGTTTGGTAATACATAGTGTATGTTGACCATTTAAGAGCAAGGCCACTCTGAAAAAACAAACTATTTTCAGTGATTTGTTTGTGGAATGAAGTTAGGAATTAGATCAGATTGCCTTTGGAAGCCAACACATAATCACAGCTTGAGTAGTTTCAAAGTTTTTCCTTGGGAACATGGATTTCTTATGTATTTACAGCAAAGCTAGACTTTGAATCAATGTTACAAATATTTATAAGTAAAATGTTTTTTGACTTGGTACCTCCCTAAGGCAGAAACATTTGGTTGTTGTTGAGTATCCTGGTTCTCACTGAGCTAGCCAGAACCCATTGCTCTTAAAAATGAGGTATGATGAAGTGAATGGTATAATGATTCATTATTAATACTGTGGCCTATACATTTCTTGTAGGTACATAGGCATGTAGCAGTGCTGATCTTCTAACAACTGTCCCCAGATGTTGCTTTTTGTGGGACGTACCCATAACAAAACTGAGACTTTTAAATCAGTTCATGAACTGCTCAGAGTGACTTGAGTTGCATTCATCCTGAAAACTCACAGGAAGGTAGAACACAGGAAGAAGAGAAGAGTTTTTGAATAAGAGGGTATTTATTTTGTGTGTAGAAGATCTGCCAAATACTTCACACTGTAAGTCAGACAGAAAGCTTGGGAAAAACAGTACTGATATTCTGAGGAACTTATTGCGTAATCATAGAGCCATCATTTCTTTAAAATTATGATCATGATTGCAGTGTATCATATGTGTGCAGCAATATCTTGAAGTGAAAGTGCTTCACTGTAGTTGGGAGCCTCTGGATAAAGCTGAATAAGCATCACTAACAAGCTTTCGAGTTGTGCCGTTCATTTCTGCAATAGTGTGCAAAGTATTTGGCAGTCTCCAGTGGTGATAAAACACAAGTTATTGCCTTTCTTTTTTTCCAATCTCCCTACCTCAGTAATACATTATTTTACCCTAGCATTATTAGTAAGTGAATATATTGTTAATTAGCCCAACATTACTGGTCTGTCTCTCTGGAACACAATTTCTTTTCTCATTTCCTTGTATTGTAAGTGTTTTATAAGTACTTTACCCCATATGTAAAAACTAATTATACTGTAATTTGTAGGGTATAATATAATTTGTTTTTATTTATTTAAGGGAACTATGTGTTTGTTTAATTTTGTTTGGTTTATTTAGGCTGGTGAAAGTGTTGTCTGTCATGTGTAGCTTGTTTTATGGCAGAATAAAACCAAACCAAAGTCCTGCAATTAAACTCTGGTGCGGCGTAAACAACCAAGACCGCCTGAAAAAGGAGGGTCTCAGTTGTGTGGTTCGGGGTGTGAAAGCAAAATCGACCAACCACAAAATTTTATGATAGTATAAATGTGATTTTAGCAGCCCAACTACTGTTTAACCCTGTACAAAAAAATTCAAGATGCACCCAACAAAATCAGTAATTTACTGTTTAATCCATCTGGTTATTGTGAGCTGGTCCATGTATTTTGATAGTTGCTTATAAAAAAGTATGAAAAATAGGGACCACACAGTAAAAGACACATCTTTTGCTTCCTGCTTCTACCTGTTCATAATTTGTGAGCACCAGAGAATATACAGTAAATAAAGACAGAAGGCGCACTGACTTGTTGTCTGTTTCTGGGATTTTATTTTCATGTCCACGTAACACTGATGAGGCAGGATGACAATCACCAAAACTGTACAATGAATGAGTTTCCAGTCAGTTCATATGACCTTGTGTTTACAGCTCTTGGTTTGATTCAGTAAGTCAGTGTGAACACGAACCGTACCGGAAGTAAAAGGCAAAAAATGAGCCACAGGTGTGAAAGCACCCTTAAACTTCTCATATTTGTTGGGACATTTGAGACAGTGATGTGATTTTTGTGAAGTTATAGAAATGTATCTTTCTTCAACACAAACCTGCGTCATGAATCAAACGCTGCTTAGTGACTGCGACTGGAAACTCATATGTTTTCACTCTATTTTTAAATGATTAATTATGAAGTTGTAAGAGAATGAAAAACAGCTGGCCAGTGCTGGGAAGCAGATGGATGTAAGACTGTAATGAGTGTGATAATCATCAAGCTAAAGTGTCTATTAATAACACTCAATGCAGTGACATTGCTAAAAATTTTCCAAATTGTAGATTGTCAATGAAAGTGATGATCTAATTACAATCTTCTTCTTCTTTTTTTTTTTAATATATTTTTGTGTGAATGGAAAACATCTTGAATTAATACAAGCAACCTTGTGGTTTAAGACAAGAGATTAGACTTTTAAATTGTTACTAAAGATGAGAAACAGCTTTGTTCTAGACTGGGATGGGAATTTAAGAGCCCGCAGCAGACTTTGATCCAGGAGAGTGGCTTCGATTGTGGGAAAAAACAGGTGTATAAGGCGTTCTTAAAATCCATTGTTTCGTTTCTGTGGCCAACACACTTGCAAAATGTGAAAATAATTTTGTGTATTTACGGACAATGTGAATGTGTTTTTCCCGATCCAAATGCTCCAGCTACTCTCCCATATTTTTATGGTCCTGCTCACCATTGTTCAATGAGCTGTCATAATATATTGTGCCTGACTGTACCAGTCCCATTTACTTTATCAACTCCATGTTTCTCCTGTCCCATGCTGTTTGACATGCATATTTCTTGATCCCACAAGTGAACGTTATTAATCTAGAACATAGTATTTCGATCCTCCACAGCATGCATTGTCCTGCTCAGTCACATCACACAACAACTGAGAACATCCTGTGTGTCTGCTGCTTCATCTTAACATCAGATCCTCTGTTGAATCAGATGCCTGCTCTTTAGCTTTGACATGTTTTCTAACCCGCCTTCCTGGATCAACTGAAACACACGGAACTCACCATTAGTGTAATTCCCTTTTATCTCACTTCCTGTTAGTGTGTTTGTAGGACGGCAACTTACCACCATTGTAAGCCATGCATAGTAGGTTTTTGTATGAGCATTAGCTCCTCTTGGTCCCCTCTTTGAATTTTTAGCTTTTCTGTTTAGTTTCATGCTTTCCCATCACAGCTTTGTAATAAATAGTCACATACTTATCAAGTTGGAGTTGCTGGACATTGCTATAAATCCGTGTTGTTACAATGAAGAGTAACAATGAAAACAATAATCACTATACATGTTAAATCAAAACTAACTAAACTAAGATAAGCTTCCATGTCCCTTAAGACCCAGTGTGTTTGTTCTTGTCATTGTTATTTATTGGTACAAATATTTCTGGAGAAAAAAAACACTGTTACTCATAGAGACCTCCCCTTAAAAATTCCCAACAGCTTGTTTTGATCAACTTTATATTTGTCACCAGGATACGATTTCCTCCACTCCTGATTATTCACAAAGTAATATTACAAAACCCAGCAGAATGCTGGTTTTGTGCTGTAGTATGATGAGTCCTTTGTGAGTACAGCAAAATGACCTAGCGAGGGTTAACATGAGCAGCACTGTGTTCCCTCCTCCTGACATTGACTGAGTACACACACACACTTTCCCCGCTGAGGCCAGCACACAGCCAGAGAGGAGGGACTGTTTGCAGCTCTGAAGGCCAGCTGTCGTTCGCTCAGAGCTGGGTCTTTTCTCTCTCACTCCCCCGTTCTCCACTGGCCTCATCACTCCATGGGACTCCAGACCTGGCCGCCAAGCAAACCACCACTCTCCTCTATGGCCTGCCTTGATGTGGAGACCCCTTCCATCTGCAGGGGTAAATTCAAATCAGGTGCTTTTTCTTTTTCGTGTCTAACCTACGTGCATTTCATTGTTTTATCTGAGTATCTGCGTAAAGTAAAGTAAAGTTTTTTACTCTTGTTAATCTTGACCGATGCTGGCAGCAATCGAAGGGGGGTTGTAGTGACGTAGACATAGCCCTAACAGGAAATGACAGGGCAACAGAAAAGCTCATCACAATGATTCATGCCAAGCATCATTCTTACAGGAGAGTCTATTGTCTTCTGATGGATAATAAATCAAACTGCGTAGGAGAGATTTAGGAGACAATACTCATCAGTTTATACTGTCTATGTTTATATTGGCACTCGGTTATGGTTTTCTGTCACATGATGTAAGCATGAATTCATGCTTGTAATGTAAGTACACACAGTGAGCTTAATTCAAATGGAGTGCAATACACAGATATGCTGCTGATTCTGATCATTATTTTTAATCTTTCTTGTTTGCAGTCAGCAGCAGCATATTCCACTTGATTAGACTAGGAGTTGTGTAGATTCTTCCAAAATAATCAATGTCACTAGTGTTTAGGTTCTAGATTATGGTGAATTTATTGCAATGTCTATAAAGTGACTGTAATGAAAATATTTGCCAACCTCCAAAGTTCATGAGGTATCTAAGCTACATGTTGAGATTCTGTATTTTTTCTATCCTACTAAAGTGATAATGTCCAAATTGCTTTTTACTATTGTAAGAAGATGCCTAACAACACTCAAATGACAAACGTGTATAATACAAGGTTAAATTCCTTTTCGCCAGGGCCATTATCCAAGATTTACATTCACAACATTTTATTTAAATTGTATGTCAGTAAGTTATTATTGATGATCTGACTGAATATAACTTTCCATACCAGTTTCTCAAACAGCATTTGAGAACACACTTACTCATGGGGAAGGAAACTAACATGTTTTTTCATCACTTTGAATCTGGCTTCCTCTTAGGCCCTTTTGCTTTGGGAAAAAATAATATGCAATACCAACTGACTGCCCATATCAACATTTTAGCTCCATTTTATCTTCTATACATTCTCACTCAGTGATCGTAAATTTCTGATTTGTTGAACTGATAAGTAATGGTGTGGTTTAATTTAAGAACATGTGATAAACTCTTTGATACTTACTGTTTGCCTTTGTGCATTTGAACAACCATCTTCATAAATGTTACTTACTCAGTTGTCAACTCAATAATTACATACTTACAATATAAGACCAAGTCCATCAATTAAATTGAACTCAGGTATACTTTTTTGCCCCATCTGAGTGCAAGTCCTAAAAAAATATATCTTTATTACTTTTTTGATAAACTATATAATCTGTATACACATGGTTTAGTCTACCTCTGGTTTTAAATGCCTTGATCTTTACTAAAATAGGATTCTGTTTAGTGTCTGTGGTATTTATAACAGTAAAATCAACATAACCCAATGTCAGACTCTTTCTAAACTAAATTCAACTTTGTCTGGACAAGAAGTATCTGTCACCACGCCAAACCGTTTTTTTATTTGTACTGTTGATAAAAAAAAAAAAAAAAAAAGCCAAATAAAATAAAAGGTCTGATTGGAGACCTCCAGGGCTGATTTGCTGAGAACAACATGGGTCTGAGATTAGAGATTACATCAGTAGGCAGGGCTTTCAGCAGAGCCTTCTTTCTGTGTTTCTCCAACAACCTCTGTTTACGCTCTGCTGGTGAGCTAGAGAGCGGAGCCAGTTTGCATCACGGAGAGGTTAGCCAGGGTTCAGGTTGAACACACGATGACACAAAATGAGGAGGACCCCAGGCATGAGGTGTACCCCCATACTGATGGTAAAATAAATCTCTGCATTCTCTTGTGGTGCTGGAAGGCAGCTTTTGGTGTTATTGATATGCAGTTATATGCACTCATAAATTTTCTTGCCTGTGGCATTTTGTCCAAGTCACAGTGGATATGAATATTGAGACAAAGCAATGGCAATTTTTTACAATCTCATGGTATGATCTGTCTCAGGCTGACCATAACCCCCCTGGCCTGGGTTTGTAATAGGAAACACAGCAGGCGGGGCAGGCACACTGTGTTCTCTGCTCCAGAGTTGATGGGCTGCTCTGAGACAAGACTCGGCCTCCCACCCTTTGCCTCAGCACTTGTCACTCTGTGTTCTCTTGCCCACCAGTAGAAACCCGTGAGCGTCCCCTCGGCTCTGCATACAACTGGAGATCCCACCCCTTTAACTACCCAAAGATTTCATGGTTCCCAGGCCTTGTTCTCACAGCTGCCCAGTTTATTTTTAATAGAGTGAGTCACAGAGGCCTGTTCAGACGCAGCGCCTTTCCCAGGAGAGCAGGTCTGTGTGTGTGTGTGTGTGTGTGTGTGTGTGTGTGTGTGTGTGTGGAGTGAATGGGAGTAGCTGTTTCCCCTGAGCCACTGAGCAGTTCATGCTAAGCTGGCTTCACTACAGTGGTGACGATAAGAGTCTCATGTACCTCACACCGGCGCCTCATTCGTCACCATCACCCTTTACCCTCCTCTTGGAACTGTTTTTTTCAGCATGAAGTGATGTTATTCTACTGAAATAACATGTCCACGCTCACTTGTTTATAAATGTTTAAACTGGGATCTTACTACAGTTTATATTGATGGGAAAATAACACTGAAGAACATCCAAGTACTGTATGTGGGGCCTGCGTGCTCAAGACTCAACAATTTCTGCTGGAGGATAGTCGTGTCTTTGATGTGTCACACTTATCACCGCTTTCCACCCTAAGCAGTATTACTTTTTAAAACAATTTATGAAATTGACACAATTCACTTGGCTTTTTCTGGTGTCGTGACCATCTCCTTGCTCATTATCATGACCGCAGGCCTAACATTATTCCCTCTTTTATCTGCCTGTACTCTGTACTGTAGTTACTTTGTTTGACTCCTCTGTGTATTTGCATCCCACACAGAGATATTGAATCTCATTGGGAGGGATCTCAGCCAATCACATTGCACGGTTCAAGTCTAACTGTTGTAAAACTTGTGGTACTGTTAACAACCATAGTTAAAACCATACAGGAAGTGAATAGGATGTCTGTGGTGGTGAACCCGGTTTACTGTTGGGCCTTTGGGGTAGCATATTGATTGAGAAATAATAAGTACTTTGTTTTATTTGAAGTCTGGCAGGTTTCACAGTTAAAGCCAGAGATGGTTGTTAGTTGACTCAGCGGACTTGGCTTTGCATGGTAAACGTTCAACTCTGACCTTTGTGTCTCTGCACTCTCACAGTCCTCCAGCTCTGTCTGCAGCAGAGGAGAACTCGGGAGCAGCTTGTGGAGCAAGGCATCATGCCGCGTGAGTATTCATATCGCTAACAAAAAGTTTATGTGACCAGTATGTCCTGAACCCAGAGTTCCTTTATCTTGCTACTAACCTACTTACCTTTACTACCATGGCTTTTGGAGTGCATATTTGCAGTACCATTAACAGTGCCATGTGACACAGGCAAGACCCAATGACAGACAATATGTTTACTTGCATTTAAGGTGATTACATTGCATCTGTGTAATTGATGTTCGGGCTTACACTTGCAGTCTTTTGCTTTATTAGGGGAAGTTTTATTTTATAGAACTGTCTGAATGGTTTAATAACATTGTGTGTGTCTGCACATAAATCAATTGCTTTATTCTAGAAAGTGTGAATTGCATTGTCCTAATAGTCACTTAATTGTATTACCAACAATAAAGATCTCTCAAAGATTTAACAATAAGCAATCAAGCAGCAGACCAGTATCATAAAGGAAAGAACTGGTTCCTACTTTATATCATCCATCCTTGTGACAAAAGTGGAGCAGACTCAGTCTCTGTGCTACATCTAATAAAAGATGAGCTGAATCTGTGACAGAATCATGCTGATAGCTGAAAAGGTAAAGAGAAAGAAAGACAGAGCTCTTCCTCTTTGTCCCGCTCTCTCCTGAGAAGCCTCCTGCTGTCAGGCTTTCTTCAGCTCCTGTCTGGCTCCACACAGGCACATGAGTCAGCGACTGAGCCTTCAGTGGAGGTCAGTCGTCCTCTGGCCAAGCGTGGCCTGCACACAAACCTCTCAGGCCATTCTCCACTAAAGTGCTCTGCTGCTCCCACACTTACTGGCTTATGGTTGGTATGCAGTGAGGTTTAGGTGATGAGCAGGAATGTTTTGCTTTGCTCTTCTGACACACTCCTCAGGGCGCCCCTTCGGCTGATGGGTCCTTAAACCAAACAGTGCTCGTCATAGCAGAGGTGACCAGTCAGTGAGTCGGACCTTGCATATAGCAGGAGTTTATTCAGTGAGATCAAAGAGGAACTCTCTGCATGGATCAGTCTCTCTGCTTGAGTCAGTAAAGCTGGCCCTTCCTGTTTAACTCCCATGAGCTCCTGCTTATTAATGTCACACTCTTGCAGAACAACAAAAACATGAATATAATGATATAAAAATGGAGTTTGAATTCAGGCCAATTTATACTTTTCCTTCACCAAGTGTGTCAAACGTTTATGTTTATGTAACTATTTGCTGCTACACATCCAGCAGTGTTCATTCTCTACAGGGATGTATATGTCTTGTACTTTTTAGGAAGCAACTTTAATAACTTTAAACTGCTTCTCAAGTCCAGTTTGTATGTGTTTGGTGAAAAAAAATAATTGTGTAGTGTATACAGTAGAAACATTTTGTAGCTCATATTGTTCTAGTGGTATTGTGGTTACATCATCCTTTTTGTTGTTTCAGAGATCAATGTGTTTTTTGCTAATTAAAAGTACTCAAAAACAAAGCAGCAAAAACAGCCAAAGGCAAATGGCCTTTTGGAAATAGAAGAGGGAAAAAAATGAGAAAACACCTTAGATCAATAATCATTTATTTTAAAATGGAAGGAACAGTTTCCTTGTGTGTGGAAATACAGTATATTGACCAAGAAAAGTTATGGGTTTTGTTGATTCACCTTTTCACAGCTCTGAAAACACCTGCTGCCTTTCATGAGCAGATTCGCAGCCTGGAGAGAGCCAGGGTAAGACATCAACTAATATCATTACACTGCAGGTCTTGATTTTATTCATCTAAATCTAGATTATGCCCCAAAAATATTCAGATTATTTATTTTTTTAACAGACTGGAAACTTCTTAAAGCACAAACTCTGCAGCAGACCTGAGCGCTCAGAGCTGGTCCGTATGCACATCCTACAAGGTAATCATCCTCCTGTGTGTTTTTACTGGGAAATGGTGTCTGGATAACAGGGATGAACAATGTGCTTATTCATCTAATCACACGTATTTCCTGTTTAAATTTGTTTTACATAGTTAGAACCAGATATATGTCTTTGAGGTTGACAGAAGTTTGTGATGTCTGGCTGGGTCTGTAATGAGTCACCCTTACAGAGCAGTTAAGAGGCTGACTGATGCTGGCTGGATTCACAGTTAATGATCCTTTGTGTATTTATCAGAAACACAGGCTGAACCCTGTCTGCAGGCCACACAGATGAAGCTCAAGAGGGCCAGGCTGGCTGATGATCTCAATGAGAAGATCGCCCAGCGTCCTGGACCCATGGAGCTGGTGGAGAAGAACATCCTGCCTGTTGACTCTGCTGCCGAAGAGGTCATCCATGGTAGATACTCATCAACACTTGTGTCTTCACTGTCAGAAGACCTGAGCCATTCAAAATTTTTGTTTTAGACCTCTTTGGTGCCCCGTTCGCCACTTACAGTGACAGTCAAAAGGTTAACTAATTTATCTTTTAAATAAATAATAAGCTGTACTTGCTTATGTTTGATGCTGGCCCCACAGGCGATAAGGCAAACTACTCCAAGCCACCAGATATTTACAACTTTGATGAGGACAGCAGTGATGCCCTATCACCACAACTGCCTGCCAGCCAACAATCTCCCAGCTCTGCCTCTCCAAGGGAGTCTGGGGGGACTGAGGCCACTTCTTCTTCCTCTAACTTAAACTCTCCCATACAGGTAGACCAATACCTTGAACCATAACAATTTATAAAACATAAACTGTCAATATCGGCCTTCTTGGCAAGTTATCTCATATAGCAATTATTAAACAATTCTTTCAACAAAGTGAATAAGCTTCTCATGTTTTAATGCTGGCTGGACACTGGTAGAATTTTTCATTTATTAGAAACATAATATTTTGGATCTTAATTTAACTTTATTTGCTGTATGCACACACAGTGTACTAACCATGTATAATGTTTTCATCATTTGAAAAAATATTTTGTACACATTCTTTTATTTTCTGAGTGATTATCAACCTGTTTTTGGTTACATTATCCCAGTTGAGGGGCTTTTCTTTCCTTGCGTGGCATGATGATTAACAGGCGTGGCGGCTTCACTGTTCTTACTGAACGGATCATGTGGTTTCTCTCTGTCTCTGCTTTTCTTAGCACTCCCCACCACCTAACTCACAGTCCACATCAGATGTAGTCAACCTCGTCTCCACCAGTGAGCAACTGAGCAACCAACAAGTATCTCCACTTCAGCCAATCACCACTGTTGTCCCCATTATCACACAAGGACCAGTTCTTATGAAGGTGAGCTTCAGATATGTTTTTAACAGCTTAGGTATTTCAAAGTCTTCTTAATCTTACCTGTAAGTGTGTTTTTAAGGATGAGTTAATTTAGGTAGTTTATTCACTCACAATCTTGACATGAAATTGAGCTCTATTGCTCAGCTCTTTGTCTCTCTGATTTATTGACTATGTTGTTGTTTTTTAGTTTCCTTTGGAAATGTGATGAGCGATGTGATGTCAGAACACACAGAGTGTGTTTTGTCATACTGAAAGCCACATCAGATTTGGGGTGAACTGTCAGCTTTCAGCCAAGTCAAACACTGTTCAAAGAACAACAGGGTTTTAAGTCATATCATAAATCTTTGGGCTTAAATTGGTGCCAGCCACAGTTTGTCTTCAATTAGGGTCAAATGACAGGCTGGCCTTCCTCATTCAGGCTCTGTAAAATGTAAGCCAAAAATCAAAGGACAGGAGTGAAGCAATAACTTGTGCATTTATCATAATCCAGTTATCCTCCAAGCATAAGATAAACTCTCCCTCCCTTCGAATATGATAGGGGAATGAGCTTGACAAATTGAAGGGTGTGCTCAGCTTGAGTTTCTTGTTTTGTAGCTAGAACTCGTTGCTCCTATGCCAAGCCATTTTCATGTGTATCCTGTAACTGCAGGTGGTAAAACAATAAGGGTCACATTTCCACTACCCGTTTCCTCATCCTGCAGTTCTCACAGGGTGTCGGAACAATGTTCCACCTTAACGCTTCAAGCTATAAAAATCCAGTATCAGTTCCAAGTCTTGCAATGTTGGTACTGGCAATGCTAACTGTATTCCCTGATAAACTGGACTGAGATCAGTCACAGGGATCAAATATCCTCCAGATGGTCCTCTCTGGTTTTACATGCCCCTGTTCTTTGTTGTGTTCTGCAGCAAAGCCTGCCCAAGCTACCCGGCGATAAAAGCCGCAGCAAAAGGAGCAAAGAGCCCAAACCACGGGTGAAAAAGTTAAAGTACCATCAGTACATCCCCCCAGACCAGAAGCAGGAGCTCAATGAAGTGCCGATGGACTCAGCTTATGCCCGCCTCCTGCAGCAACAGCAGCAGTTCCTGCAGCTCCAGATCCTAAGCCAGCAGCAGTACAACTACCAGACCGTCCCACCTGCCACACTCAAGTATGGCTTCATTCAGCAACACAAACACAAAATGTACCTTTATGTGCATAGGCTGATAACTTTGTATTGAGTTCATTACTATAAAAAACTAACTAATGTTTCTTCCTGTCAGTAAGAAGTATTGATTTTCAACAAACTCTTATCAAAAGTTCACACCTGGTTTTGTATAATTATAACTGTTTAACCACAGCTGTTGTCTCGTATTTTATACATTTCCTTCCTTCCTACACAGAAGCTGCGGATTGGGAAAATAGTTTAGATTCCCTCTCTAATGTGTACTCCCCTTTTCTTCTCATCTTATTACAACAGACCACCAACTGAGGTACAAACCAGCTGTTCCAGTGTTGTTCTGAGTGGAAACCCTGTGTCTACCACTGGGCAGCCTCGGCACACTCAGACGAACCGCAAGCCAGATCATTTGCCATCTAATCTGGACGAGATGAAGGTGACACGTTGCTGCCTGCACACAGTCTGACTATATATGCACCTTCATGCTGCAGAGGAGAACAAGCTAAATGTTGAGGTATTTGATAATAATCTTTCTTTACAGGTTGCAGAGCTGAAAATGGAACTAAAACTCAGATCTTTGCCTGTTTCTGGGACTAAGACAGATCTGATAGAGCGGCTAAAGTTGTATCAGGAGAACTCTAACATCCAGACTGCTACTGCCATTGAGACACCAGCCGTCACGTCAGCCTCACAGTCTGAAAACATAAAGTTAACCCCGCCTGTGTCCCCTATAGCCTCCAAGGTGTCCAGTCTGGGCATAGAGGACAGTAGTATGGCAGACAGCCCCACCAAGCTCTCAGATGCTCTGTCTCCAACTCACACTGCTCCCTGTGTGAACTCCCCACGGAGAGCTCCACAGGAGGAGTGTCCCACAGAGACACTGCCCTATGAGAAGAATTCTGAGAAGGACAAACGTCTCCATGAGAAGGAGCGTCAGATTGAGGAGTTGATGAGGAAACTGGAGCAGGAGCAGAGGCTGGTGGAAGAGCTGAAGATGCAGCTGGAGGTGGAGAAGAGGAGTCAGCAAGGAGATTCTCCACCTCAGCTCAGCCCTCTTGCTACCATCCAGGTCAAAGAGGAAAACAGGACCCCATCAAACTGCTCAGCATCCTGTAGTTCTCCTGGTCTGCCAGTGTTGGTCAAACAAGAGGAAGTGGCAGATCAAAGCAACTTGGCTCCTCAAAATAAGTTAATCATCAGCCATCAAACTATCAAGCAGCCTGAAACCCTGCAGCCTATCCAGACTGGAGCTCAGATTCTCCAGCCTGCATCCCTTCCTGCCTCAGCAGCCACTATCCAGATCCCTGCCAACAGCATCAAATTATACACTACTGTTAGCAGCACAGGCCCAGGCCTCATCCAGACCTCTGGACAGGTGCCACCGAAAATAGAGGCCTCAGCAGCAGTACAACAGCAATGCAGCACTCAGCCAATGACAAAGGTAAGAAAACACACTTATGCTTGCACAAGCTGCCACGGTTCCTCTCTTTATTAGTCATCAGTATCAACTGAGGTTTTCTGCTAGTTTTGGATTTCTTTAAAATGTGCTAACTTGAGTTGTATGTGATCATCCATATGTGTAGTGTGTGCACCTGAAATAACTATTTTCTATGCAGTAAATAAAGATTAGGTTACCCATCTTACATCTGGTGCAGTGTTTTTGATGGCACGATGTAATCACACATCAGAAGTTGATGCTCTATGATGGGCAATGCATCGTTTTTGTTGCCATAATAATAACAGTCCTCAGCTGGGTGGTGGAATCCTTCCCTATTTACATCAAAAGAAGGCTTGTGGAAACTTGGGTTACTGGAGCAGGTGCTGAGTGAAGGCTGACAGTAGTGCCCTGACTGCCCTCTGTCGTCCCTCTGCTCTGAGCCAAACAACCAGCCAGAATTAGCAACAGAAACCACAACTCAATGCTAACTGAGGAGAACACTCATGAGCTACACTGCATAGCACTGTAAACAATGCTCTCACTAGTGGGGCGAAAGGTGGTGATACTTCAACTGAAGACGGCCCAATGCAAGTAACATTGCTAAAAAGCAGAGAGTGCAGACCAGTCTTTGTTTAGGTTGCACACAATTCCCAGCCTTTGTCCCTCAAAAGACCTTGGTTACTACAACAGTAGTGTTTAAGTGTGTTTAAGATAGTGGTTGTTAGGATGCACTACTTTTCCATGCGTTTAGGAGAGAGCACACTGATGGCATTAATGCACTCATTACTCCTCCATGCTGACCTGTCTATATTTTTTGTGCAGACTTGGAGGATGGATCGTACAGCACATAGCTTACTCAACACATTCCCAGCAAGTGGATGTCCTGTGGGAGCATCCTCAAGCCAAGCTGGTCCTAAAGGACCTGCTAATAAGGTAGAGGTTGATCCTTTGGTCTCTTTTACTGTGGTTTACTTACTAATTTGCAACTGCATTTGAATGATGGTTTGTATCAGATGTATCCTGTTTTTCATTTGGTGTAAAGGGACTGTTGTCTTTTCCCGTTAAACAGTCTCACTGTGCCAGCCAGCCAACTTTCTTGCAGCAGCGAAAATTCGCAAACCATGTGTCAAAGTGTAAAGACCCACCCCGCTACGAGGATGCAGTTAAACAGACACGCAGCATGCTAACAGATGTTCAGGTGACAAATAAATACACTGTTTTGTATAGTATATCCTTTAAATTGTTACTATAGTCAATCAAACATTGACTGGTATTTTTATTTCTCTGCAGGGTCCCACTGCAGCTAGCCAGCAGATGGATGACCTGTTTGATGTGTTAATTGAGAGTGGTGGTGAGAAATAATTTTCTTTTTTTAGGGGCACTGGTAAAATAAGACATTAAGTCCTAATAACTATTAGATTCTCACACTTTCTCTACATTTTTTTTTCAGAGATCTCCCCCATCGTCAGACAGGATTCTTCCAGCCAAGACAAGCCTCACCCTGTGACAGCCAGTGTAACCACTCTTCCCATCAACACGGTTTTATCACGCCCTCCACCTGTGGTCCAAGTGGCCCAGCAGCCTTCTGCACCGCTCAACCCCTCGACCCAGCTGGAAACCCTCCTGGATGGCACACTGGGTGCTCACACCGAGCCACAAACACATAAGCTGATGGAGGAGCTACATTCACCTATGGTTACGATGGAGGTGGACTTTAATGAAAACACACCACCCTCTGCTTTGAACCTGCACAGCAGCAATATGGACAATATGGACTGGCTGGACCTTACCCTGTGTGTGCCAACAGAGGGGGTCAACCCTTTGGAAATGTCAACGCCGGTGGGCGTCTTCTCTTCTGACTTCCTGGACTCACATGAACTGCACTTGAACTGGGACTAAGTGCAGTCAAGGTGAATTCTTACACCTATAAGACTGTTTCCGATCCATTTTTTATGCAAGTGAGGATATTTTGTTTCATATGTGGACAAAAAAGAGCTTTTGGAGATTTTGCTTTCTGGCCATATAAATCAGCTCAGTAATAATCTAATTGTGCAGTGCCAGTTTAAAAGTTGCTGCACTGCTTCCTTTGAGGTCTTTAAACCCTCTGACTGTATGGGGAGACTGACATAAAGTAGGACTGGTACTGGATTGAGCTGACAGTGGAAATAGCTTTTAAAATTTCAATCTTAAGTTGTACCACTTCTTTGTTATCAATCTGTTCTCATCTTAATGGCTTCTTTGTGTCTTCTGAACTTAATGAATGTACAGTGTTGTATGGACCATGATAATGGCAGAAAGAGCAGGAAAATGTCCTTATCCTGGTTAAAAAAAAACTATTAGACAAACACTGCATGCAGCTGGGGGCAGTTATTGTATGTAGTTCACTCCTCTCTGTCTTGGAATGATTATATCACTATCAAAACAGATTGTAAACACACAACTGCTAAATGTTACGTGTGTATGTACATTTTTAAGCATAAATCAGATGTTAAACTGAGTCACCATAGTGTCAATGGCCCACAAGTGGCCTAGCAGCACTGACCAAATCTTCACTCCTGCATCTGTACACTGTTTAAAACATACTGCACATAAAAAGGAGAATCTTCACTTGGCACAGCTATGGGGAACTAGTCACAAGAGCCACTTGCTGTGCTCTATCGAGACTATATCCAAATGGATGATGATACATTTTTCTTACAACTCATTAGTTTCTTTAAAGACAGGCAGATTGATCCCTAAAGGGTTAAAAATTACTCATTAAAGGTCAGATGTTTTTTGTTTTAGTAGTTTATTCAAAAAGCATAAGCGTTGTGGGCCATACCAGACCACAATCTCTGTGCACAGCAGTGTATCAACACAGACACATCTTTCAGAAAAATAACAATATCCATCAATATGAACCACTGCTCATTTGTGTTATTCACTCACTTCATATTGAAATGCATTACAGTTGATTTGTATTGTAGTGACATCTGCTGGCGAAATCTGAATCAGCCTGAGCTAGCAAAGTTGGTAGTCTGACTGGTTCTCTGTTTTTTTCTTAGCAAGTTGCAAAAAGATGACTTTTGGTATAAAGAAAATACATTTCTGTGTCAAAGAATCCATGTTGCACATAATTAGGATGGTTTCTGGGCAGGTTGAGTATAATGATCACTACACTGAAAACAATGTCTAAACTGGTATTGGCTTCGAAACCGAACTACCTGCCTCCTCATCCCCCTACCAGCTAAACTTTCTCTCAAGATCTCATATCTAAAACCTACCAAGCTGAATATTAATTTTTCCGTCCCCACTGGCTTTAAGCCTGCTATGGTTAAACTTCTGTTTAAGAAATCACACCTTGATCCAGGGTCTCAGGCAGCTCAGTAATTATCAGCCAGTCTTTATCCATTCTTCTCAAAAGTATTAGAGAGTTGTGACTAAGCACCTTTCGGCCCACACATTTAACAGTAACCTTTTTTTAACCTTTTAAAACTGCATTTAGTAAAGTTGTAAATGATCTTCTGCTTACTCTTACTATGGATTCAGATTCCACCTCTGTGCTACTATTACAGAATCTCAGTGGGGCTTTTGACACCACTGATTATTAAACACTCCTAGATGACTGGAAAATCAACCTCCCTGCTGATATCAGACAGTCTGACTCTCTTGAGGCCTATAAATCCAAACTTAAAACGTATCTTTTTGCCTTAACTTTCAGTAAGCTGCTTATTCTTTGATTACGTCAGGACTTGTGCCTGTCAGTCTCAATGAATCTATTAAACCTAATACTTCTAGTCCATGATTGTCCTGCCGGAATAAAACTGTAAACTTTCTGAAAACCACTGCATCTGGCTAACCTTCTGTTTGTTGTCCCACAAGTCCAAGCTGTGTGCCTCTCTCTGTCTCTCTCTGTCTCTCTTTTCACTCAGGCTTCACTGTGTTGGACCCTGGGATCCTGGGATTTCTCTCCATCTATTTGCATCTCTATCCATCCTGGAAGAAGGATCCCCTCCGTTAAAGGAGTTTTTTCTTATCCGAATCAAGAGGTTGTTGTATACTGTACAGATTGTAAAGCCCTTTAAGCCAAATTGTGATTTGTGATACTGGGCTGTATAAATACAATTGGCTTGGCTTGTTTTTTCATGCCATATGTTATATTTTATATAAATGTAACAGTCATTTTGTAAATACAGAGGCTATTTTGGATTTCACGGTTGGCCTGTGACCATCCCTAGTATGCCATTTACCTTTTAGAGATTTTATATAAGGAAAGGCCTTCATTTTTGTAACCCTTAAAGATCCAGTGTGTAACATTTAGGATAATCTATCGACAGAAATGGAATATAATATTCATAGGTATGTTTTCCGTCCCATATAATCACCTGAATATAGAAATTGTTTTTGTTACCTTAGAATGAGCCATTTTTAACAACAGATGCTGTGGGTTGCCTTCCATGGATTCCGCCATGTTGAAAGTTTCTACAGTAGCCCAGAACGGACAAACCAAACACTGGCTGTAGAGGGGGTCTTTTGCGTTTTTTTGCAAGTTTCCCAGCCACTGGAGTTTCTCCTACACACTTCCCAACCCATTCTCATTCCCAGGTTGTCATATACAGACGCCAACGGTGTTCAGTTACTTGCAGTCTGCAAATTCACTGCTAGATGCCACTAAATCCTACACACTTTTAAAAGGTAACTGAATGTGTTCTGTAACCTAACTTTTTTTATTCAGTGAAAGATCAATTTGAATATACAGATACAGATATTTATAATATAATAAACATTTAAGAATAAGAGAATTAGTCAACACCACATGTTCCTTCTGACACGTGTGCCATTAAAACCAAAGTGATAGCATCTGAATATTTGATTAATAAACATTATTCCTCAACCACTGATATTCAGTGTCTCCTGTACAATGGAGAGTAAGCTTGGCTAGTAGTAAATGCGAACAGATAAATTCTGCAAAGGAGCCATGCTGCTGAAATACTACTTCACCATTTGGTCAATGTGTGATGCTCTTTTAGTCTGAGCTTCAAGTTCTCACCAGCTGCTTTTCTCTCAGAGCTTTTTAATAGTTTGGATTGAAGATCGACACTTAGGACATCTGTGTGTGGTAGATTTGAACCTATCAAGGCAGAAGGGAAGAAGACAACAACCAGCCACGCAGCTGAAAAAGAAGGAACAGTAACACAATATAATGTCAACAAACCTGGAAACCATTGTCTGCACAAATAAAAACAGGTCCAACAAAGTCTGATTATATTTTCATGCAGATATATCACCAGGGTGAAGGGAATGTTTTCATACCCAATCAAAGCTGTCATAAAACAAATCAGCCAGGTCAAGCTGTTGACAGAGGTATAGGTCTCTGTCATGACGTACTCCCGACACTCTGGGCACTGCGTCCTGCATGGGCAATGTGGAAGTTCTTCCAAGTCCAGAATCACTGTAGGGGCTGTTAAGAAAAGTAAGAATCCATTATTAGTTTTCCCATCAAAAATTAATTTCTCATTTATTATTTCTCTAAACCTTTCAAAAGGAAAATTCTGAGTGAGTACACTTTAGTAGGTATTAAAAATCTTCACTTAGTGTGAGTAACATAAATTGTACAGTTTTGTAGGTTTTGGGTGTGTAGGCACTAAGGTCCAGTAAATATGAAATGGCATATGACCTGAACTATAGTAAATGAATGATGAACTGGATCAATGCAGAAAATGATTACACTGATGGAGCTAAAAAAATGTTGATAAAGGACAGAAGTATGTTGTAAAGCCTGTTCTGTGTGACTTTGTGAGGAGCTTATTTTTGACTTTATAGGGTGCAGGTCTTGCTATGTTGAACAAATGAGCATTTATGCATCACTGACTCACCAGGGATAGTAGGTGGCGCCTCAACATAGAAAATATTTGATCCAGGAGGTGGAGGTTCAATCTTCTGAATAGAGTCAAAACTGACTTCTAACAAAGTAGAAAAAATTTGTTTTTAAAACCAAACTATGATGAAGTACTGATTTTCTGCAATAAATCTGGACTCACCTTTATTATTTTCTTTGGTACTGAGGATGTTATCATAGATTTTTTGGAGTTCATCCTTCCTTTCTGTCAATTGTTTCAGTTTCTCATCAATGCTGGCAATCTCCTGCTGACTTGAGGCTGCCGCCTCTGGTAAAAAAAAATAACAAACTCACATATATGAGAGATGCACTAAGGATGGCTATTATTTTTATTTAGTTTTCATGCTCTCTTTCATGTGTCACCTGTTTGTCCAAATTCAGCACGATTCCTCAACTCCTGAAATATGCACTGGATTTTTTTCCTTTCCAGAAGTTGCTGTCTCTTAAGTGAAAGATGTTTCAACTCTGTAGATAGCTTCTTTAGCTCACTGTGTGAAGAAGTCATGGTGGATGCTGAAAAGACATGGGGAATTGTTGGATTTTTTTTAGCCTAGGTTTGCTATTTTGTTTACTGTATTTTTATGCTTGTTTGTTGTGCATAATGTTTCATACGGTAAATTAAAGCAGTACTGTATATGTATTATGGAAGCAGTGAAATTTCAGAAGAAAATTTGATTTAAGTTTTGTAGTGAGAATAGTAAAGGTTACTACCAAAGATATATAATTGCTATAATTTGAAACTTTAAAACAATGTTTTGACTGTTATTTTCAGCTAACGTTTACAGAAATATTCCAAAAATATGTATTGGATCATCAAATGTAGCATTGTACGCAATTATCTTTCCTCACCTCTTAAGATATCATTATCAGACTTTTTAGGCTTCTTTAGCATAATCTATTTGATATAAAAATGAACGTAATATTGTACAGTGGAGTTATATGATATATAACTCTCCAAATCCTTCAATCCATAACAGGCAAATCTATTTACAACTATCATTTGCATGTTTCTCTCCCATCTGATATATGACCCAGCAGTACTTTTCAGGATACAAAAAAAGGCAGTATTTAATAAAAACTGTCTTTTTAACAAAAAAGACTGTTTTTGATGTCTGCCTTTCATTTATGGCAGAACTTTGATAAAATAGTGAATGAATTTTTTTTTGTTGTGTGTCTCCAACAAACTGTCAAACTTGGCATTTTAAGTTGGTTGATAATAAAAGAAGCAACAGATTGTGTACTAAATAATGAGCCAATCACTTCTTGAACAATAAAATAATATATATATAAAAAATAGTCAGTTGAAAAAAATACATAAAACAAATTCTTGTTTGAACAAGCAAAAGTACCAAAAAACAATGATTAGACCTGAAGATAAAATGTTGGAATAATACAACACTTACATGACACAAATCTCAGGTCCAGTGCTCATAACAGTAACTGCATAGTACTCACTGCATGAATCAAACATCTCAACTATTAACTTCATAAAGTACAATTCAATCTGTATTAAAGATAATATTATAAAGATATTGTATGTTTTACCTAATTTCCCCAGCTGCTCCCAGAGTATCATGCACAGGTGACATTTCATACTAAGTTAACAAGGGCATATAGTGTTCACTTCTACCAGGAAATATTCAAATCATCCAGTATACAACCGCCTTCTCTGGAAAGTTTTACATAATGCTCAGCTGAGGTACCAGCTCAGGTGAAACACAACTACACAGGAAGAAAATATTGTAATATATTTTAATATTTTTGAACTTTAAAAAATACAAAATGGGCTTAACGTCTTGTCTCCAGAAATCTTATTTACATTCAATTTGTAAAGTGAGATTCTGGATAAATATTTAGAATGTGTACACAAATCAAGACTGCAACAAAAACAAATGCTTAAAATAAAACAAGTCACATACTTGTGTGTGAAAGTCATTTCAAGTCACACGAAAGGAAATGGTGTTTTTTCATGATGTGACAAATGTTGGTTGTGACATTTCACTTTTTCCGGAGTCTCTTCATGAATGTCACTTCATCTCTGTTCCTGATCCTGTAGCTAAAGATATAAAGATTTTTAAAAATCCAGAGAGCAAAGAAATAGTCAAACAGTGCTGATGAAAGCAGCGTTGTAAGTGAAGGAGGGGATTATTTCATACACTTACTCTTTAAGCCTCATCTTGTCATCTTCAAGCTTTTCCCCTTGAAAGACTAAATGATAAGTTCTCCAAACATATCTCCTGTAAAAGAAACAAAGGAAACAGTGGGAATGTAACAAATATGTCTTTTTATTATTATTTAAATATTATTTAATTGTGTTTGAGAGTGTGTTTACCAGCTGACATGTTTCACTCCCCCTTCACGTTGTTGTTTCAGCTCCATGAATCTGCAAATGGCCTTCTTCAGGTCAAGCACAGTGGCATTTTGCACCACCACAATGGCTTAAGAGGAGGAATGTTTTTTCAAAGAATAATTAATACAAAAATAAAGAAAATGTTATAATTATAAATAAATTAACAATACAAGTTGTGTCTTTATGTTCACAAATTAAAGAAAATACACAGAATTATGTGTTCAGAAAATACATACTATTTTGCTTCAAAATAAACAAAAAAATGTAAACCCTTACGCATTATTTCACCATCTGCCTTTAAAACCTTCACCGTCATCGCCTGACCATACTCCAAAGCAATCTGAGAATTCACCTCCTCCAGCGTCACCTGAATTTAAAGATGATCAGGTTTAAGGATATTTTACTGGACTTCTTCTTCTCTATCAGTACAGGTTCTCACAAACGCATAAAACACATGTTCAGTCACTTTATTTATCAGAAATACAAGCAGAGTTGAGATAGATAGACAGATAGATAGATAGATAGATAGATAGATAGATAGATAGATAGATGTTCCTTTTACTTTGTGGTTTGTTTTTGCTCTGACATTCACTGTGAAGAGTGGGAACTTAAATTAGTGTGTGAGCTTAAAATTGCAACTCCAGTGAAGTTTAAATATATCTCAAGAAAATATTAAGAATGGATCCAATGCACATCATCACAACCAGGAGTGTGAATACAAGTGTGATTCATATTTCTCTATTTTAACACCTTTTTTTCTACTAATAAACTAACTTATGTTTGGCTTTTTCATCACAGGACACTGCATATAGAGGGCATCAAGGACAAACCAACCTGGATAGGCAGATCACAGAGTAAAGGGTCCTGCACCAGCCGAGCAAGTCCCTCCTCGAAAATATCCAGGATCTCTGAGTGAGGAAGAGCGTCTTCATCTTCCTCCTCTGCGTCTGGAGCTGCCATCTCTGTCAGGTTCTCATTGTCGGGCTCTTCATCCTTTATAGACTGTCCTCCTCCTCCTCCTCCTCCCACAGTGTCCTGACTCTGCTCCTCCATCATCAGACACTGAAGTCATTCAACAATGGGTAAATGTTCAAACTACTAACAAGTTAAAGAACAGTAAAAAAAAAAAAAAGACTACTTTAGCTCTTTTGTTTCGCGGCAATAAGCCATGAAGTAAACAAACTGTGTACTGTAAAAGTTATATACCGGAAGGCAACCGTAGCTCAGTACAAATGGTTCCTCTTTGTGGACGTAAATTCAGACACCACTTTAGTCTTTTCTTTGACAACCAAATACTGTTGTTATCCAATCATACTCATGGGTGATACTATTTTGGCGTTAAATTAACTTACAAACCACTTTCTCTCTTTATAGTTTGTTCCCCACCGAACGATAAAAAGTGTGGCACCTGGTTTCATCAGCTCGTCTTCCGCTGCTCCGCATGCGCCGAACAGTTTCCACCAGGGAAACTATTTTCTGTGTAAAATAAATAGTGTACTTCATATTGAATTTGTAATTTTAGTTTGTCACGAACATGCTTCTTTTTTGTCCAACCTGCGGAAATGTTTTAATTGTCGAGGAGGGACAGAAGTGCATGAGATTCGCCTGCAACACTTGTCCGTATGTACACAACATCACAAGAAAGGTGAGTTATGTTTTTGTCATGCTTAAGTATCACATCGACATCAGCACTGTTTGACTATTTCTTTCCCTCTCCGTCTACAGGTAAATAACAGGAAGTATCCCAAGCTGAAAGAGGTGGATGATGTTCTTGGTGGCGCTGCAGCTTGGGAAAACGTGGACTCAACTCCTGGTATGTGACATTAAAACAACCCATGTTACAGTATGTAGGCTTGACACATTTAAAGTGGTGTCTGTCATCTCAGAAATCCAGTATTGTCTCGGTTATAGAAGTCAATGTCTGGGCTTTATATTATTATTGCACTGGTGTCCACTCATGCCTTAACTGCTATGGAAAATAATACCCCCTTTCATGTTTTGTACTAGAATATTATTATAAAATGTAACCTCAGATCTCTACACTGTTTTATTAACACCAGAATAATAAGCAATTTATGTTTATAAATGACAAAAAAAGAAATAGGACATGCAAAAGTGTGTATCTTTTTTGAGATACATGAGTAAATCCTTTAGATCATTATTTGGTTGTGCAGATAGGATATTATAATATGTCACATGTTGCAGAATTATCTGTCATGCTGTTATCATAGTAAAAATGTTGTCAATATCACATATAATCTGTGATTCTCTCAGACATTTTTACATTCAGATTTTTATTTAGCAAATGCTGTATTTTTTTTTAAGTAAGTCACATTACAAACTAATTTCATAATCCTACACCCTAAAACCTGCTAAAATCTATTATCATGAAATAGTTTTTAATTAAACTGAAGGTAGATTAAATATTAATTGTTGTCTTAAAGCCTAAAATGTGAAATTCTGATCAAATATTTCTCAGTATCTCAAATCCTGATGCCAAACTGATTCTGCATGCCCCGTTTTAGGTTATCACAACTTTTTATATGCCTACATACGTGCTGTTTTTAGACTGGACACACACAATAACACATAAGATGATTTTGTAGCACATCAAGAAACTCATGGTCTTTATTTTTTCACAGAACCACATTCAGCCTTAGCACCATATCAGTATTGCACTGTTGAACTTTCCGGTAAAATCAAGTCAAATTCCTCCAGTGCCTGTTTCACTTGGTAAAACTGTTTTGATTTTGAAGGAAATCTTTATTAGAATAAATAAAGGCTGCACATACACACACAGATCTGTATGTTTTTCTTGGAGAAGATTGTTGTGTGAATTTCAATCTTAATCAGGTGAGCTTTCACAGCTGTATTGCTGCGTACATGTTTTCTGTTTTACGCAGTATAAAACCAAATATGGGAACTCCAGGACTTATTGTGGTTCCAACACTTATTTCTGTTCACAGAAACCTGTCCCAAGTGTGGCCACCTACGGGCGTATTTCATGCAGATTCAGACGAGATCAGCTGATGAACCGATGACGACTTTCTACAAATGCTGCAATGCCCAGTGTGGACACAGATGGAGAGACTGAAACCTTTGCACTTTGAACATTTTCATGTATTTAATGCTGATGTGGCATGATCCCTCATTCCTTCTTGAGACATATTTATTGCCAAAAGGCTCTGGTAGTCATGGACACACTCCTGATGATTTCCAGTGTGCACAGTTGCTACTGTGTGTAAGCCTCACTGAAGAAACTTTAATTTCCGTTTTTGTCCTTGCAGAGGATATTTACATAGAGTGTGCACTTTTTAAGGCATAGTTCATTTTCCAAATAACATTAAAATGAGTTTCAATAAAAAATCATGTTCTGATTTTTATTGATAAAATAGTACCTGTATACAACAGTCAAACAAATTTTGACTTACATAGTTTTACATATCACAGACACTTACAGGAGCAATGCAGACCAGCATTATTCACAACAATGGCATACAGTACTTCGTATTAAAAGTTCAATGCAATCCTTCAATTCAATTTACGTTCTTGCACAGCTTAGCTAGCCTCGCGGGAAAAGAAATCAAATGCACATAGAGTCCAGGAACTAGCGAGTGAGAATTATTCATTTTTGATGTGTGGCTCATGCAGACAGACTCTGCATTTGGTGAGTGAAGGTGAAAGGCAGTTCGGGCATGCTGTGGTGGAACTATGGCTGCTTCATTGTTAGTAGTAATCTCAATGGAATCACAATGTCACTTTGAAAGATGACTGATACAATCATTTATTTGAAGCTTATTCCTAGCAGAGAGTTCACTATTTAGTAATAGTCAAAAGATATCTTTATTATCTAACATGCATCTGAGCAATGCAGGTACTCTTTAAGGGCTGGTGCCATATTAGGAGGGTTACAGTGTCATGTGATGATGGTGCCACCACTGTCATTTGTTTGCCAACATACGTTTCTATTTTGAACTAGCTACCTGTTTACTGTGGCGCCAGCAATCAATCAGCCAACAGTATCGGTGGGAAGATAAACTAGTGTAGAGCAGTGCATCAGACTGACACGCTGGCCAGAGAGAGGACAACTGAGATGTCATGCAGTGTGTGTCCATAAGTAACCATAAAAGACTGCAACCTCTACTTTGAGTCTACTATAGTCTGAATAAGTACATGTATGGTGGCATTCACTTAGCTAAAAACAAGTCCCAGTAAAAGCCAAAATTATACACTGCTACTTTTGACTCATGAACTGACACGTTTTTTTCCTTCAAGCCAAACTCTCCAAAAGACAGCTGAGGTTGGTAGTTTTAAATGCATCAGAGGGGGACATGTGAAATTCCAACTTAAAGTGCAAATCTTGGCTTTATTATCAAAATTAAGTACATCAGAGGGCATTCATGTGTTTAAGAGCTCAACCACCTCAACATGTTGTGCCTTCTGACTAAAGCCCAGAAGAAAATATAGCAAGTAACATCAATCTTGGGCATTCCCAAACAAGCAAATAGTTTTTACCAAGCTGAAAATAGTGCGTTAGTTTGCTCACATTCAAAAAGGGATAATGATAAAAGGGAAAACTAGGTCTGTTAGAACAAAATTATCAGACATGGACAAAAATGTTCACAGTTCTCAATATTGACTTGCTAAAACAGTGGATAAAATACTTGAAATAAATAAGAAAATAAACAAGAAACCTAATCCAGCAAGTTTGACTTCAATAGACTTGCTTCTCAGCAAGATTCACAGATGATCTTTAAATAAAAAAAGTGACCATTTTCACAGCTTCCTCTAACTGAGTCTGTCTTTTACCAGTAATGTGTGTAAAATCACAAACCTTTTCTTCAGCTTTCCGTATAGGATTAGATGCACCTTTGTACCTGCTGCCTATCCATCTCTGTGGATGTTTTGGTGCCCTACATCTTCTGTAGTTCAGTGAGATTTGTACATTTCAAATGCTTGTTTATACATGAAAGAATTAAGCTGAAAGATATATACAGTAAATATTCTGTGAACTAATGAGAAAACTGCACTTACAATTTAAGAGGGCTACACAACACTTTGCAAAAATGGGGGGGGTAAAGCCTGTCACTACCAGCAGGAGGAGCTGTGAGTTTATGTGTGCGCATGTACATGTCTGTAGAATACAGCTGTCGGTGGTTAGCATATACGCTTGTATGTGTAAATGTAGCCCTTACAGTAAGGGCAGGTGTGTGTCACATCCTTGAGGTCATCAATCAGGCAGGGAATCAAGCAACAGCCGAGATCACACCTAAAAGTGAGAAACAGACAGACAAAAATATTACTCTGTAAATTCAAACACCTGCACAGGGTTATACACAGTGCCCAGAAAAGAGTGTGGGAAGAGCAATAAGTTGCATTTTATTAGTCAGTGTATACCTTGTTTTAGGACAATCAACCACTGCTTGTTTACCCTGATTTGAAAGAAGTGAAACCAACTAACTACAGCCATCTTACTGGAACAGAGTTCACAGACAGCCCTATATGCAAAATATGCAAGCGCAGACCAGATAAACGTGTTCATTGAATCAAGAATATATTGGTAAAACTCCAGATGTCTCCATATTCAGCGCATATTATTTGTGTGAGTAATTGCTTTGCATATAAATGGCATTGCTGAGAAAAGGCGTGTGAACAGACAGTTAAAGGTCTGACAGAGTTTTGTATACACATATTTAAAAAAATATATATAAATATAAAAAAGGATCATTATTGAGTGTAATTGCAAACTTGAAGTTCTGAATGCAGGTAGGACTCAATAACAATTAAGTTTTATCTTTAATTATATATGGAAAGACAAAATATAAACAATTTATGGAAAATATACAATATGAGACCCTGACAGGCTTGTACATGCAGACCCCCCCTTGAAAACATCAATTTTCCCCTTGATTAAAGGGCTCCTTTAACAGACTGCTGTCACTTTTAGGCGTTACTCTCTTTAGTCGTATGTGTGTGATACATATTTATATAGCAACAGGTGTGAAACAGACAAAACCCATGACAAACTGTTAGGTGACCTTAATCTGCTATCAGACCCATTTTCTGCCCGACTTCTAACCTGTGATCTACTTACCCTACAAAGAAGCAGAAGAGGCAAAAGAGTGTGTTCATGAGTCCGACATCGTGGGAAATGCGAGTGATGATTGCCTGCTGACAGTGCGGACAGACAGTCTGCACCGGTGAGGTCTGGAACATTTCCCCCTGCAGTACGGTTACAGTGGTGGCTGCTCCTGGAGGAGCCAGGACAGTCGCTGTGTGACCTCCCATGTGGACAAAGTGATTGGGACCAGGACCCATCTGTCCTGCCATCGGGTGAGGAAAGTGACCGGGAGGAGGTGGGTAGTGGCCACCTGTACAGAGGAAAATTACACTTAATATATTGCATGTATATATGTTTAGCCATAGATTAACAACTATTTATCATGATATTTGGAATAACCAATTTAAAGTCTTGCACAACCTTAAAGCTCCAATGAGTGATGTTAACAATGAATCCAAAGACTGACCGAGCCCACTGAGAATTAACATCCATCACGGCAGCTCTATGTAGCTTTTAGTCATTTTACACTTTTTGTTTTGGTTTGCCGGCTCCTTCTAATAGAAACTGAAGCTGAGCCCAAGTAAACAACTGAACCCAGGCTGGACTGACATAGAAGGTGAATAAATATAGGAATTAGATCACATCAAGTGGCCAAAAACCTGACACCCAATAAAAGCTAATATAGCTCTCTATCTGAAAGTAAGAAATTGCTTCATAACACATTTCCTTTATAACTTAATACGCCAATCACATGCTGTGGCAGTGTGTCTGTATGCTTTTGATGCTGTTGTGTTTGTTTAATGTATGCAGATGGTCTGCAGCACCTGGTGGTAGAGGCATTGGCATGGGCATGGGCCCTTCTCCAGGGACATGTGGGGGAAGGAAGCCTGGCTGTGGGGCCTCATAGGGTGGAGGACCGTAGTCTGGAGGCAAGGGCTGTCCCTGTATGGGAGCAGTCCTTACTGTTTCACACATAAAAAAGGGAAGAAAAATGGCGTTGAAGACAGGTGTACACAGGTTTCAGTCAGGGTCAACAAATACAAAGAATACATACTGCAAAATTTAATATTAATATAATATCACCATGGAGACTATAATAACATTAGTCTCCATGGTGAATGTTTACTCAAGCCACAGTGATTAGAAGTTGGTGTACAGAGGCTTACTATGGAGTTTTAAGATGACACTTTGATAGTCATGAATCAAGACAGTCAAGTTGCAATAAAGTGTGTCTAAATAACAACAGTGTGTTGTTCAACGTGTCGTTAAGAAATATCAGACTCAGAGTAAAACCTTTACTTGCAACACTGAATGACTCAATTGCTATCACACAGTTGTGCAAAGAAAAACAGCCTTCACTTGTTTAAATATGAATAAGTAGGAATTAAGTGACTACAACCACTGTGCTGTTAACATTCACCACAATCCTGCATGTTTAATGTCATTACCAGGTTGTCCATTCTTCTCCTCAATGAGAGGGGCACTGGGACCTCCAGGGTACGGAGGAGGAGGGTCACTGGACATACTGGCCAGATGTCTGTATAGGGAAAGGGGTTGGACACGGAGCTCCCTTCACAACTCTCCTGTCAACTTTTATTCTGTGAGGGGGGAAAAAAATGACAGTTTGAGTCCCATGGCTCATTACTCTCTGACACAGACTTCTCCCAAGTCATAAAATGTCCCAGTAACACTCAGAGAGGCTAATTAAGTACGTTTTGTACCTGCTGATGTCAAACATGTACTGTACGTTTCAGAACTGATTAAAATATAGTGGAGTTTTAAGCACCTCATGTTCTTCCGTTGCGCCGGTTGCTCTGCCTGTTATTGAGTAATCAAATAGCAATGTACAGCTTTTCAACTATGCTTTTGTAAAATGCTTTCCAACCAGTAGACCCCACAGAAGGATTGTTTTGATCTAATAACTCAACAGAATTAGAATTAAGGTCAAAACACTTGTACTAGGTCAAGTTAACCCACTATTACCTTTATGCATACTGGGTAATTTAACCCAGTGATTTTAAGTGCGTTGTGAAATTGTAGGTAAATATTATCATGATGCACCCATAGTCTGTTTATGTGAAGGGCTGATTAATTATTTGATGTAAAAATATATATATATATATATATATATATATATCATCATACTATATTCATTGTATTTAGTCATGACAGAAGATATTGTGAGTAAAATCAGAGAGTAATGAGTGAGTACCCTGATGATCATCGGCACTGTAAGGTAGGCATTAACAAAATCGTCTTCAAGATAAAAATCGACCTCCCTTACCGTCGACACAAATAAAACAACAACACAAGTAAAAGCTCCCCAGTCCTGTCTCAGAGCTGAAGTTTCAGCAGAAAGCCTGATGATTTTCTCCCTGGCTAAATGATGCACGCTGTAGCTGAACGCAGTGCTCAACAAATATCTCAGAGAAACAACACTGGAATTTGTTTCCAGGGAAATCTGAACACAGCAACAACAAAAAAAAGAGCGCTGTGTGTTTGCATCCTCTTCTCATTTCTCAGTTTGTACATTCTCCTTGCGCCTTAGTTCCTTCTACCTGAGATCTGAGCAGAGGAGGCAAGGAGGAGGCAAGGAGGAGGCAGGAGGAGGCAGGAGGAGAGAAGAGTTGAGGCAACAGGAATTTAACAACATGAGACGTCCTTGCTTTGGAGCACGAGGATGCACCTCATAGCTCCTCTCTCTCCTCCAGAGGCATTTTATGCATTGAGACATCCTTGAACATCCCATCAATTTCTGGTTCACAGGCAGGAGGACGTAGGAGAAAGGAGACGAGGTGGCACAAAATAGAGAAATAAGAAGAACCCTATTGTCTTGTCGCTCAGAAATGAGTTTGTGAAAGCAAGTATTTCTCACAGGAAACAGATTGTGTAAAATGTGAGAGAAACATGCATGGTGTTACATTTGTGTACTGTACTTTATACTACAGTCAATATATTCACAAAGAACTGGTTAACAAGACAAAACATTTACCTGCGACTGGGGAAAGAAAGCTTCCACCTGAGGAATCTGCCAAATGTGCCACAACCTGCAATATGACAAAAATGTTCAAGTGATTTTAATACATTATGATGGGAACAATTAAAATGACTATAAATAAGGGTGAATACAGATTTAAAGGATTCTTGTCTAGTCAGTAATTGTCAAGAATAATAATGTGACTCTAGTAGCTGAGGTACGGCCCACTTTCTCCTGAGCTCATTTAAATAAATCTCATCTGAGTGGCACTAAAAAGGAAAGGATTAACTTGAAAACAAAAGTGAATCACCATTGCTACATGAAGTCTCGATGCCTGTATTAAAACTACCAACCCTCATCAGATGAATGCTAACGCTTCCCAGCTAACCAACCAGCTAGGTAGCGGATGTTGTTTTTTTTTTTAATCAGATAATCCAGCTCAACGCTACTTGCACAACTAACCATGAATAACCTGGTTACGTAATGGAGGCTAGCGGCCAGCACTGACGTTAACTTACACTGGGGGCGCTTATTTAGTACAATATCTCACATTATTATCAACATTAATTGACACGGTGGCTAACGGAGCTAACGCCAAACAGCGTTAACGTTACTACGCTTAGCTGACTGGCAGCTGGTATTCTAAATATTGTAAAATAAGCTGATAAACGACAGACTGCGAGGGTTTCTTTGTGCTCAGCTGGTTAGGTAACTTGGAAGACAAGGATGCGTGTGTTCAGCTAAAGCAAAGTGTGTTTTGCTAGCTGTCGTTAGCTGAGCTAGCGTCGCCATTCTGTGCCCAGAAAAACAACAAGAGTGAAAGATAACGCTTCAGACTCAACAAGGAGCTGATCAAACCCCCCATAGCTGTGTGGATTAGTGTTTGTGGTCGCAACTGTAAGTGACCGATGCAGCTGTCAGGGTGCTGGAAGATAAATTACCTGGTTTTGTGAGAGACGCAGTCTGCCCGCGGTGTGTCTGAAGTTGTTTGACGTTGAGCAGCTTGACCCTCCTGATGAGAGACAACATCCGCTCAGACGGATTTACACCCGATTTCATTTTATATTTCAACACAGCTACGGAACACATACAGGATGACAGGTGGAAAATGTTTATCACTGCATAATATACCCTTATAAAGTCAGATAATAATAATAATAGTAATAAAATAAAAAAAACACACAACCAAAAATACAAAGATATTCATTTATTTTGAAACTACCTACCGGAAGCTTTAGTGTGATAGCGTGTCTGCCTTGACGCTAGCTTCAACATCGCTTACAAATAGCCAATTATTACAGTTATTACCAAATACTGACACTACTGTTTATTGCATCAATATAATAAACTCTGTAACAATCACACTGATGATGTGTTTGTAAAAAATTGACATTAATAAAGATCATTTCGATGGATATCAACACTGTCTGTTACCCTGTTGCATTTCCTCCCTATGAACGCCCATTATTACAAATACACTCAAATCATCTCCTCCTACCGCAAAGGAAGACACAATTAACACTTCAGACAGTAATAATGAATTGTACATATTGATATAAAACAATCATTTCACAGTAATAGAGCTGTGGAGTTTTGTGGAGAAATCTACCTTTTACTAGAAGATACTATGTGGACATGACTGCCCTCCGGTGGCCACAGTGAGGAACTGCAACATTACATTAAACTCATCGCTAACATGAAGTGTTAATACAATTATTATTAACATACATTAGTATTAGTGTTGTTATTATTAAATAACAACACTATTTATTAATAACACTTTCATGAAGAGACCAGTTTACCCTTCACCACAAGAGGAGATTATTATATAAACAACAGTAGCTGTCTGATTCTCATGTGGAATCATTGTGTTTGCTGCCATCTAGCGGCCACGATGAGGAACTGCATTATTACATTGGTCAAAGTTGCGTCAATGCAGCTATAAAACGAGAGGAGCACTTCCGGTACGTACTTTCAAATTAATGTGCCCAAGCTAAAACGAAAAGAGACAGAAATGACTATGAAATGATCAATTTCGTTGTTCCCTTGTGGTGATAGTTAGAATCTAAAGCTCCACATTCCTATGTATACTGGTATTTATTACTCTTTGATGTGTCGTGCGTGTGGAGGAAAACAGTTGCACATTGGGTTTGTGTTGGGTTATTTGCCGTATATATATTTCTTCAGGACTTCTCCTTGGCATAACATGTAATAATCATACACGGGCAGTAAAACCTCAAGTTATAATCATTACCTGAGCACGCATTCACTGGAAGCCATCGAAGTTTCCAGCATTTCAGCACAGTTCAACTCAGTAGCAGGACGAGGGATCACTGCCCTCCTGTGGTCACACTGAGGAACTGCACTACAGTAAATCCTGCAGTAAAATGTTATTGATCAAAATCACACTAATTAATAAGGGTGACCAGAAGTCGCACTTTATGTGAAACATTTTTATCCCTTGAAAGCTGAATTCAGATAAAATATATTTATTAAATACTTCACATGCTAAATGTCTAAACTGTTACCCGAATAGTCTTTTGTGTGCTGCTGAATCACACAGAGGGCAAAGCTTAGAGATGTTAGGAGCTAAGGGGAAATGTTTATATTTTAAGTTAGGTAGATATTATATAAAATTTTTAGATTACCTCTCAGCTTTGGTAACGTGTCCCACATTGTCCCACACAAACATAGTGTTTGTCCCACATTTGGTTTGCTGGGATCTGGTCATCCTACCAATAATGAATGTTACATATTGATATAAATAATATATTTTACATGACAATATTAATCATTATTGTTATTAAAATTAGTAGTAGTAGCAGTAGTAATAATTATAATTATTATTGATATTAAACCTGTGTGTAAGGCACGAATTTAGTGTTTAATAATGCAGTGTTAATGCACGGTTTGTCTGTTGAAGCATTTATTTTGAAAGTACAAACCGGAAAACCTGAATGTCTGCATTGACGCTCGCTTTATAATTCGATGTGTTGTAGTTACTCACCGTGGCCACAAGAGGGCAGTAAACACTCGCGGTTCAGAGAAGAACGAAGTCAAACAGATTGTAGATCTAATAATTACCAGTGTTGATGTTACTGTTGTTATTTGTCTCAATCACACTAATAATGACTTGTACATATTGATAATAATACTTTTACTTAATGTGCCACAAACGTAATGCTGCAGTTCTCCCCTGTGACCACTGGAGGGCAGCAAACACTTGAAAGAGTTTAATTGTTATTTATTAATTACTGTCCATGTACTTTAAGGTTTAATGTACATATAGGGCTTCATAACATTTTCCTCCACTTTTTAATTTTAAACTGTTGTTGGGATTGTGTCGCTAATCAACTTTGTACCTCAAAATACATTAAAAACCAACCGACGCCCTTGTGGCTGACCCCCGTCCCCCACTCCTCACCTCCTCACCGCCGGGCAGCCCCATCACTTAAAGCGAACGCCGTGTGACGCGTAAACGGTCGGAGGCAGCCAATCAGGTTGACTCCCTGCTACGTCAGCGCAGCTCCGGTAAAAACAACAGCCCGTCTCAGTTTTTATTTCCTGTTAGCATTAGCCCTTTCGCGACGTGAACCGCGGATAAACTGAGCGTGTAACATGTCAAATTAACCGACGCGTTTATTCCTGGCTGACGTTGTCTTCGCTGTGGCGTTAGGAGTGCGCTGAAGGCAGAGCGGATCGGAGCTGTTGACGCGCTGTTAGCTGCCAAGCTAACTGTAGCTAACATCGGCGACCCAGCAGAGAAAGATGGGGTCCATCCTCAGTCGCAGAATCGCTGGTGTCGAGGATATCGACATCCAGGCGAACTCTGCCTATCGATTCCCACCGAAGTCTGGTAAAGTACTCGGCAGCGTCTTCCGATTTCCTCATAATCATCATAATAATCTTTTATCGCAAACACATTGAGGCGCCGAGCACAAACTAGCTAACGTTGATTAGCTTCTAGCTATTTTCTTTTCTTCCTTTCTGATGATGATGATGATGATGATGATCAGCTGTATAGATAGATTGATAATGATTGCAAACATGTGAGTGCTCCAGATAGAAGAGATGTTATTCAGATAATCTTGTAATATTTACTGTGTCATGTGTGTGTAAGTGCCGATTGCACATTTCTGTAGTTATTCACTGTTTTCCGGCTATATTCTCCTTCTTCTTCTATTTGTTTATATTCGCTACTTTTATTCTCTCTGTGCTTTTAACTTTATTTATATTTTTCCATGCTTAATTGTTATGCAGCAAACTTACCAGGTCAAATTCCTTGTATGTGAGAACCGACATGGCAATAAACCTGATTCTGATTTATTATTTTGTTATCGTGATCATAATGCATGAAGCATTGTGCTTCCAACACCAAAACTAAACGTGTTGTTGTTTTATACACATTCAATTAAATTGATGGTACTAGAGGGAGACATGATGCTGACATCCAGAGACATGAGGTGTATGTCAACAAATTATTTAGTGTGTGTGTACAATTTTTTTTAAAAGATATTTCAGATAAGTACGTCTTACGTTTATTATAACACTTTTAACGTTGTTATGAGGACCTCGAGCAAGCAATAAAAACACAATGTGGAGATGGTCATATAACATATACAGGCACGGTGGCTGATACGTTGATAATTAAGTTACTGGAAATCTTATGGTTAAATCCACTACACATTGCAGTAACTGTTGTAGGTTTTAGGTGCTTGTGTACAACAGTGGCATGGTGTTGTGTGACCTGCTGATGTAACTAGTAAAAGTTTAATGTATTGATCCCATTTAGTAAACAACCTTTATTAACTGTTTTTCTTTAACTGAATTATAGACTTTAATTGTATTTAAATTATGGCAAAAGACCTGTCTGAGGTTGTTTTGGGGGTCTTTGTGAGGCCACTGTGCTCCGGCCTCCATGACTGCATTATTAAACATGAGCCCATCATATTCTGCTAAAAGCGGTGTTTCTCCGAAGAGTCATAATACACTACAGCCAACAGCTTGTACAGTTTAAATATTTTATGTTTTACAGACCGATCATTTGAAGTAACTGCATATACATTGCGTTATTGTTTATATTGACACAGGCAGAGAGGTTCCTTTTAAATATTAAAAAAGGACAGAAAATAATCAGTGTGTCACTATATTATATTGCTGGCAGTGTCTTTATTATTATTATTCCCGTTTTCTCTCGTCCTCAGGGAATTATTTTGCAAGCCACTTCTTCATGGGAGGAGAGAAATTCGACACACCACATCCAGAGGGATATCTCTTTGGTGAAAACATGGACCTGAATTTTCTTGGAAATCGGCCAGTGCAGGTGAGAGCAGATGTTTCTTCATCCCACTTGTTTTAATCATCTGAGAATTCAGCTATATTTTCCACAGCTGTAAAACTTGCATGCAGTTTTACATTTCCTGTAAGTAAATTAGTGAACCCATGTTGCTAATTTCAAATATCATAAATCATAGTGTTGTTATTATTTCACTAGTTTCCATATGTGACGCCTGCACCCCACGAGCCTGTGAAAACTCTGAGGAGTCTGGTCAACATCAGAAAGGACTCCTTGCGTTTGGTCAGGTAAAGCTAGTGAGGCAATATTATGATACAGTTCACAGTGAAAGTAAAGAACTGTTTTAAGGCAAAGAGTTTCCATTAAGCCGACCTAAAGTTCTTCAAAACTTCTGATTCTAGGTACAAAGAGGAATCTGACACACCGGTGGAGGAGGGTGGAAAACCAAAGGTTCAGTATGGTGTGGAGTTCACCTTCGATGCTGATGCTCGAGTGGCCATCACCCTCTACTGCCAAGCATTTGAGGAGTTCTCCAACGGGATGGCAGTGTAAGAATTTGATCTAAAGGCTCTTTTTTATGGGGCTGAGTGAGATGAAGTTGTAGCTATTAGTAGCACAAAAATAATGACAGAACCAGAATCTTATCTAGTCTTTTGTTAATTTATTTTAAATCGAATCCATCTGTAAGAGGATCAGTTGTTTTGATTTTAACTACGTAAACAGATTCATCTAACTGACACAACAAAATCATTTTAGAGGAAAACTCAGTTTTATGGGTTTTATGGGTAGTGAGATTAAAGCCTTAGAGCCCAAAGACTAGAATAGATACGATGGGTACCTAGCAACCACCAGTCACCATGGTTACTGCAGATAAGACTGAGAAGAAGATGAAAGTAATAGTTCAATCTGAAGTTATTATGTTATGATGAGACTGAAAGATGCAACATTTTTCAGAATTCAGATTATCAGACGTAACTACTGTTGTGCTGTGCTATTCAGGTTCTGTTATTTTCATTTTGTCAAGGGACACTAATGAGTGCTGAGTACATAACGATGACAGCCGCCATTAGGCGTCCACTTACTGATAAATGTCTCAATGTCAACTTTTGCTGTTGCCCCAGTTAGAAAAAACAGGATTTGAGCAACCAGGAAGTCAAGGTTTCCTCCCATCTTTCTGCACACTGACCATTTTTCTCTGAAACATGTGTTCAGGTACAGCCCAAAGAATCCCTCACTGGTCTCTGAAACTGTACACTACAAGCGAGGGGTGAGCCAGCAGTTCTCCATGCCATTTTTCAAAATAGATTTCAGCGAGTGGAAAGAGGAAGATGTAAGTATAAGCAAAAAATGTTTAATCTATCCACCGGTACTTACATCAGTGCATCAACACTATCTTTGACTGATTACTAACTCATATTTGCATCGTTTTTCTTAAAGTTGAACTTTGACCTTGACCGAGGAGTGTTTCCCATGGTGATCCAAGCTGTGGTTGATGAAGGGGATGGTAGGTTACTAGAAATATTATCAGCCAGGACAACATATCTTTTCTACTAGAACTGGCTTACAAATGTAAATGGAAGATTTAGTAGTAATAATAGTGGCTCACCAGTTATATAGGAATTGCACTAATACTGTTTTAGTTCAGTCAACATTAAACAGGATACTGTCTGTTCTTTTCAAGATTGCCTTGGACATGCTCATGTACTTTTGGCAGCCTTTGAAAGAGTAAGTATACATCTAAATAAAAGTAATTAATTTCACTCTGTATAAAACAAGTTTAAATGAGCTAAAATATGTTTTTTTTTTTTTTTTTACCTCTAGCATGTTGATGGCAGTTTCTCCATCAAGCCTCTGAAGCAGAAGCAAATTGTAGGTTTATGAATGTTGTTATTTGAATATATTATTATTATTATTATTATTAATATTAAGCAAATTATTAAGTGGAAGTGGAATGTATAGTGGATATCCTCACTTTGCTTTAATGAATTTGTTGTTTTTTAATAACCCTAAATCCAAGTCAGTAAATTGTGAAGCGCTTGCTGTCTGTGCTACAGTTAACGCAGGATGTTTTATGCAGGCCAGCAATGACCCTCATACTCATCTGCAGCTTTTGAAAAATCTGTGCTGAGACCCTTGGGAGTCTGGCAGTAATGCAGATCTCTACAGTAGAGGTTGAATGTAAACTTATATTACATGGAGCTCAAAGTAATATCACATAGATTATCTGATTTTTGTGTTTGTAACCTTTCTCTCAAAATGAAACATTACAGTGATTCTATTTAGTACATGCTAAGATGTTTTTAATGTTTAAGACTGTAAATAACATTCAGCAGTGAAATACATGAATCAGTTTATTCTCAACCTTCTCTAAAATTAACCGAATAAGACAGTATCTCATTGAACCACATTGTGTACATGGACATGTGTTTCTGGAACATGAATGTCTCTGTATCTTTCTAGGTGGACCGTGTGAGCTACCTCTTACAGGAGATCTATGGGATTGAGAACAAAAACAATCAAGAAACCAAGGTTCCTGTGAAAATAATACCGTAAACATGAATCACCGTACTGAATGTTTTATTTGAGTGACGTTTGATTCATTTTGTTTTCTTTTTCCAGCCATCAGATGATGAGAACAGTGACAATAGCAACGAGTGTGTTGTCTGTCTGTCTGACCTGCGAGATACACTCATCCTGCCCTGCAGACATCTGTGTCTCTGCAACTCCTGCGCAGACACTCTGCGTTACCAGGCCAACAACTGTCCAATCTGCAGGCTGCGTAAGAAGTGTTACATTATTTTAATAAAGTTCTTTAAGGCCTTTATTAATCCTATTTGAAAAGTAGTCAAAGTTGAACATAATTATTTGTACATCATTATTGTGTTTAATTTGACTCTGTGTTCCTCTTACCAGCCTTCAGAGCCTTGCTGCAGATCAGAGCTGTGAGGAAAAAACCTGGTGCTCTTTCCCCCGTGTCCTTCAGCCCTGTTCTGGCTCAGACTATGGACCATGACGAGCACTCAGTAAGTCTCATGCACATCTGTGTATCAGTTAAAATCTGCATAACATATTTTAGCTTTATTGCCATATGAAGTGCTACAGTAAAAACACTGTAATGGGGTGCAGCATTAAAACAGCTGAAATTCACAAATATTCATTCAATTCAACACCTCCATCTAACAATCTGCCTGCAGTTGCTTCAGGGTTAAAGCCTTGTAGCTTGCAGGATTCTGTTAAAATCAAGGTACAGGCTGCTGCTGGACAGCTTTGTTAGGCAGTGGCAGACAAGAGATGTACATGAATTGTTGCAATAGTCAAAGAAAGCTTTTTTTTATAGTCCTCTTTATTCCAGTTGTTGTAGTGTAAAAGCGTTTTGAGTGGTCGAAAGACTAGAAAGGCTCTATACAAGTACAGGTCCATTTACCATTTACCATTACCAGTTCAATCAACTGTGCATTGTCACAACCAGTCCTTGTCTATGTCACTTTGCAGAGCACAGATTCAGTTCCTCCCGGCTTTGAACCCATCTCGCTGTTGGAGGCTCTGAATGGTCTTCGGTCAGTGTCTCCTGCTATCCCATCAGCCCCCCTTTATGATGAAATCAACTTCTCAGGGGGTGTGGGAGGTGACAGCAGACAGCTGAGCTCCCCAGAGCATTTAAGTGATGGGAGTCTGCAGAAAGGCAAAGTCAGCAAGTCACCTGACAGGTAATCTCACTAAGAGTATGTGTACTATATATAGTATGTGTACACACACATTGCTGGAAGTAATCAAGTTAGGATAGGAAATGAGATAATATGCTTACATGTGTAACATCACTTCATGTCAGGCTTGGACAGTAATCAGATTTACACCTCACACCTACACCTGATTGATTGAATTAACTGATGTACTGTAATCTCTCTCTTGTATACATTTTTTTGCCTCCCACTCCAGCACCCTTAGGTCTCCATCCTCTCCCATCCAGGAGGAAGATGAGGAGAAGCTGTCCGAGATGTCTGATGCTCAGCCACACACAATGCTGTCCAGCAGCCCCGCCCCCACAGACGTAAGCCACCAATTTACCACCTGACATTTAAACTTTGTCTCTGCTACTGCAAAAAAACGTTAACGTGATCTTTTTCCTTCTTCTTCCAGGCCACAGCCACTGAGGACGTGGCAGAATCCCTGTCCCCAGATGATGGTGAGTGTTCTCATTTGGCACTAATTATGTGACACTTTGTTTTCTTTGAGAGTTCCATTCATTGACCTTTATCCTCCCGGGTGATCCAGAGGACAGGATGCATTCTGAAGGAGACATCCTACAGGACTGCAGCAGTGAACACAGCAGCTTGACCAAAACAGAGAGCGACCCACCAGGTGACTTGTCTCTGCCAGGTGAGAAATTCTCTGCCAGAGACTAAAGGAAATTACATTTTTGAAGCCCTGTTCATACAGGAAAAAAGTGGATTATGTACTGTGTATATAATCTCTTTATGTATAAATCCATATACGGAAATCAGTTGATCGATCATTGACAGCAGCTCCTTCAATTTATAGAATTATCAACTACACATTGTCTGGTTCCTCCTTATTTTTGACTTCTTTCTAGTTCATGAATCTGTTCTGGTTCTTTAACATTTCTCCTCTTAAATCCAAGAATCAAGGCTATGATTCACTAATCTGTGTGCTTTTGTGCTTCTCTATTTCCTAACACTCCTTTTTCCCTGCCATCCTGTCCCTTCGTACCGCCTCACTTTGGGCAGCTCTTGGTCCTGATGCCTGCTCTATTGGTATGGAGGAATAACTGTGGTATGTAGGCTTTCCTGTCTGCTCTCCTTCTCTGTGTATGAGCTCCACTGCTCTCACCAAACCCTGTTCTCCATAAAAACATCTATTGTCATCTATATCAGCTAGAAAAAGAAAGGTATTATCAGGTGAATTTACTGTGATAAGCCAGTTTTTAATGCAAACATGGCCTATCTTATCAAGAATGAGTACAATTTCTAAAGTCTGACTGGAATGTTCCCTTTGAGCCATGTTGCTTATCTGTTGCTTCGTCCTCTCCAGGGTCATCAGAGTCTACGGAAAGCCTGAAAAGCCAGAGCACAAACTGCTCCAGCCAACCTCTCCTGTGTCCCACAAGCAGCCTTCATATGGAGGATGAGCACCTCAACCCCTGACTCTGGTCCAGCCTTTTTCCTCCCATCAATCAGAACAGATTTATGCTTTTGTGATCAGAGCCAATGACAGCCCTGAAATTAAGTCCACCAGGACGAGGGTGGACTGTGTTTGTTTGTTCCATCAAAAGAAATTTGACTCCTGCAAAGATGACTGATGTTTTTAAAAAGACATTGTTTCTCCAGCTTTGAAAACATTTCATTAACTGTCAGATGGTGTTCAGTTTTGTGTCTTGGCCAGACTTGTGGTCTTGTAATGTGGATTCCAGAGATATTTCACTACCTGTCATGGTGGTGCTTTTAAGCACACTTACTTTAAATTAACTGTATCAATTGCTTAACACTAAATTCAGAAGAATTTATAAATACAGTTTGTGTTTAGATATTGTATTCATCAGTGAAATACACGAATGACTTGAGAACTTGTTTTCCAGTCGGGTTGATTTGAGTTATGAGCAGAAATTTGAAAACATATTACTTATGTATCTGTGTGTCCATTTAAAGTGATTTTGCACTCTGACAAAATCGTTTATAATCCATTCCTTATAACAAGAGTTTATGATGAGATTAGTTTAAGTTGTATGCAGTCTTAAACATCTATGTGTCACTTTTTTATTATTTCAAATTATGTGATATCTATGTATCAAAACTGTACTAGAATCCTGTGTAGTTATTCCAAAATTGTATACTTGCATATTACATAGAAAAAAATCCTCATATTGAAGTAATGCAGCTAGACTCAGTTAAAATGCACATTGTTTAAGACTTGGCAAATCAGTAAGAGCTACAGATTCACATCCTAACAGCTGAACTCAAAGATACCTAAAGCCCGCAACAAGCATAGATGCTACATGTATTCTGACTCAGTATGGCACAATAAGTGTGCTTGTCGTAGATGTGGTACATCGCTGTACAGTCTTTTTGTGGCAATGCCAGTGTCTGCTTATGTGACGTAGCTGCAAAAAAGGGTTCAGGTGTTTATGTGGCTGCAACGCCTTTACTTTCCTTGGTCCTGTATGTGTAGCGCCATGCATATAGATCTATGTGCCTTGAATTGGTATGGCTGCCTGCTTGTTGCATTGGACATTAGTGTTCTTATAAATGCTACAATATACAAGTTTTCAGACCGTAGACAGGATTTTTGATGCTGATGTACAGAACCTTTTTTTCTATTGCAAACTTCATGCTACTGGAAAAATGTATCTCGTTATTGTTATTGCAATATTAAATTGAACTGTTCATTTATTATTTTATGGCCATATATCAATTATGCATTTAATCTTAGTGTTTAGGCACAAGTGCATTCCTGTAAGATACATTTGATTGGAACACATTCAATGCAATAAATGGAAACATTGCATTTTAATAATTGAGCTAGCATTTGCATGTGAATTTGTAAAGGCTTAAATCTCTCACTGCTTTTACGTAACATGTTTATTTTGTCTTTTTCTCCCCTCATCTTCTGTGCCATTTCAACTTGACACCGTGCCTTCCTGTTCCTGTTTTGACCACTATTGACCTGGTATCCAGGATAACTCCACAGTAGGTGGTTTGTGGCTCTGTAAATTTAATACCTGTCTTTCCTCGTGTGTATAGCAGCATGTGTATAACAATAAAGAACAAAGATTCATTACTTCAACTACCAGTTTTTTTCTGATCAATCACAATATTACTTTTAATATATATATTAGCATATACAATATATATAAATATATTCTTATTGTATAATCATGCAAATTAGAATCTATTGCATGTGCTTTTTAGTGAAACTAATTTGGCTGTTGTCTAAATTTGCCTGTGAGTTGAAAAGAGGATATTATTACACAGTAATGTAAAAAGTATGGTGAGGGATCCCAGTGTACACATGTAGGACTGGCAAAATGCTAAATTCCCTCTCTAACAGTTCAGACCACACAAAAATGTGGCTAGTTTATGATCAATGGCATTACAGACACCTGAATTTTCCCTCAGGGGGATCAATAAAGGATTACAGTTTTTCTCCATTGGTTTGGCTCATTTCTTGAAACAGAAATTACATTCTCAAAATAACATTGACAAACCTCCAAACCACTTGGCAATTGTTCACAACAGAATTGAATTTCTCCTTAATTTCATCAAATTGCAAATGTCTTAGTACATCTTTGCAAATGATTAAGTACAGTTAGCCTACATTTAGCACAATTTCCAAGTGAATAGATCTTGTTGATCTAAACTGATTGTTGATTCTCAGTCTAATGGTTGTTCTCTCCAAAACATGTCAACATCATTTCATTGTATAAGTTATCACATGCACAATAGTCTGTTCAATTGTCAAAATTAGTCAATAACCTAATACCATGAATACCATATATGAATCTCTTGGAACATTTGATAAATTGATTAATTGACAGTCAGGTGAAAATAGAACTTGACTAACGAAGGAGGAGTTTCACACATCTCAGATGACCAATCAAACAATATGTTTAGTTACCTGACTGGTGCTGTCCATGATTGTGAATGCTGCCAAACATGTATGTATAGAGCTTGACCAGGACCAGTACAATTTGTGAACATGGAGGCACCTGGCCAAGTAAATGAAGAAGGGCAACTGCCTGCTCAAGGAAGACGAAGAAGAGGAGGAGGAGTAAGGGTGCGTGGTGGTAGAATAGGGGGAAGAGGCCGAGGAGCAGGAAGACACTATGCTGTCCCAGATGAAATTCGGGCCACACATGTTATCAACCATCGCCTCGCAATGGCAGAGGCAGTTCGCCGAGTGCAGCCTAATGTGCCCCGCTCTACAGTCTCCTCCATCATCCAAACCTTTCGCAGGGAAAACAGGTATGTACTCAGTCAGTGATGGAATTATATGTTGAATAGGACAGGACACTGTGCATAAAGCAAGAGAGGTATTTATTAATTTATTTATTATTTTATTTATTATTTATATATAATTTATTTATTATTTTATTTATTATTTATATATTTATTTTATTTATTTATTCATTTAGTGTGTGTGTGTGTGTGTGTGTGTGTGTGTGTGTGTGTGTGTGTGTGTGTTATAGGCCTACAGCAATATCTTACCTCAATTGGATGTTATGACACTAAAAATGACAAGAAAAATATTGGACAAAAATAAACTATCGAATTATTGATGATACAGTTTACAGCAGTATTACAGTCACTGTGCAGTGATGCATTATAATTGTGGTAAAGTTACTGTAAGTAAAACAACAATACAATTACATTGGTAACTCATTCTGTAAGAAATACATAAGGCATACATTATGAATGGTAATAGTGTTGTCCTTTGAATTGTCTGTCTAGGATTGGACGACAACCTCGCACGGGTGGCAGAGGAAAACTTCTCAATGACCAACAAGAACAAGACATCTGTAACATGGTGACGGCAAATAATCCCTTCACACTGAGACAGATCCGTACTGCAATCATAGAAGACAATGCCATATACCAAAATGTCAACTCTATAAGCATCTCCACAATAGACCAGATATTGAACAAGCATCAGATGACCATGACGCAACTTTACAGGGTACCATTTTGCCAGTGTGGGGGCAATATAACTATGTATCCTGCCATTTCTGAGAATGGTGTGGCCACTCACATCCCCAGTCTTGGCCCATACAATACACAGTAGCTCCTCATCTTCTTGGCCGCCTTCATTCTGATTTGATCCCTGAAAATGAGAGAGGTCTCGTAGGGCCTCACCTACCAAAGTATGTAATTGTGTAGGACAATGTGAATTTCCACCGTGGCCCGCTCATCAGGGCCTGGTTCACTACTCATCCAAGGATAGTCATGGTGTTTCTACCAGCTTACTCTCCTTTCCTCAATCCTATTGAGGAGTTTTTCTCTGCTTGGAGGTGGAGAGTGTATGAGCATCAGGCTCAAAATCAGAGGTCCCTGCTCCATGCAATGGACGCTACGTGTGATGATATTACAGGAGATCAGTGCAGGGGATGGTTGCAACATGCACGCCGTTTCTACCCTTGTTGCATCGTAAGGGAGAATATACGCTGTGATGTGGACGAGAATCTGTGGCCAGACAGACAGCAGCGTGTGGATGGCCAGGAGGGTGAGGAGGACAGCCAGGAGGGTGAGGACGGTGGCCAGGAGAGGGAGGGTGAGGACAGCGACCAGTGAAGAAATGTTAGTTTTGAATTTCCAGCTTTATTTACAGCACTGTAGGCTAAATATAATTTTCCTTGTTTTTTGTTTATGTGATTATATTACAGTATAATGTGCTGTATACATTTTCTTTTACCTCTTATGTATGGAAGTTACTTTATGTGTGTGAATAAAAATGGTTACAATTTCCTTGGCAGTATGAGTGCAATGTGTGATGTCAAACCTTGGAGGGTACTCTTACCGTAAAATATACAATTTTATACACAATTGTGTTCTGTTAGCTAGACAAAAAAAACCTAGTACAGTAACCATTGTCAATGAAGGACTGGGCTAAGACTAAGAGGTGGACATGAGGGATATTTCAATGGTCCTCTGCCATAGTGACAAAACATCTAAACATTTTGACTTGCAGTGCTTACACAATGCCAAAGGGACAATGCATTTTGGGGGCACTGACTATTTATATGAGAAAGGAATTTAGTTTTGACACATGAGTGAACTGAGATATGAGAAAAGAGATATGAGCTTTTGCAGGTGAACCATGGTGTTGTGCTGAACCATCCAGGTTATTTTGGCAAAAGCACCAAGAGTTGAGAACGTCAGGTCTGTTTTGAGAAATGAGCCAAAGCAATTGAGAAGGATCTTTTGCCTTTTGGTGGCACTGACTATTTATATGGGAAAGGAATTTAGTTATGAAGCACGACTGAACAGTTTTGGGAGAGATATGAGCAAGTGAACTATGGTGTTGTGCTGAACTGTAAGACTGTTTTGCCAAATGATCTTAGAGTTTTGAGAATGTAATTTCTTTTTCAAGAAATGAGCCGAACCAATGGGCAAAAACTGTAAATTATTACTTTTTTATATAAATATGACACATTTGCAAACAGATAAGTTGTGGTGTTCCTGAAAGAAAAACACATCTCAAATATAAGTTCATATTCCTAAATGGAAAAATCTGGAAAAATCACATTAATACTGCATAGATTCATCATTTTGCATCTAATTTCAAATGCAAAGCTGCCAGACACTGCTGTTACGTGGCAAAATGAGTCCTCTATCAGTGCCCTCTGCTGGCAAAGAAGGAAACAAAACTGCCCTGTTAACATTGGTTACACTGCAGTTTTGCATCTAACACATGGACTGCTGTAAAACCATGAATGCAGGTCCTCAGTTAATCTTCTGCTTGAAAGGCCTTATGGTTTCTAATTAATACATGATTAGGATTTCTGTTCAAAAAAGTGTAACAAAGAGTGCCGTTTGTGGTTTTATGCTGTAGTCAACTTGTAGGCCTATGGAAAATAAAGAACATTTGGTGACCCTCAGAAAAATTGTGAGAGTTTCACCTGGTTAATTTGAGAGCAGTGCTGCTGATAAATACACTACTCTGGTTCCAGAAGGCTGAAGGATAAAACAGTATGACCTGTATTGTCAACAAATTAATTAGAGCTGACACAGAGCCAAGTGGATGACTGCTGACGCAAACACACACACACACACACACACAGACACAGACACAGACACAGACACAGACACACACACACACACACACACACACACACACACACAAGCTCATTTACAATCTTTGTCTCTAGACAGGCAAAAATTTGTCTGAATTTCTTGTTGCTATCTCTTCGAGTCATTCCTACGTTCCCGGGTGTTCTCTAGTTCTAGGGATAGAATTAGGGTTGGGGGTTAGAGAGTTAAATTATATATCTGGAATCTCATTGTTGTTTAATCACTATTATTGAATAAAAGTATAAAATATAAAGTATAAAATAAAATAAGAGGATGTCTTTTTCATTATGTGATCTACTGTATAGCATTAGGTGTCATCTTGAAACAAGTACATGCTTTATTTTGAAAGAGTGTTACATGTTTCAGATTTCGAACATAATGACATTCCTCTGCAGTGTTGGTTAACTGTTGCTCTCTCTTCAGCTGGACCAACAGGTGCATGCCGGTGTAAAGTTTAATGAGGATTTGGTTACACTGTGGCCTCAAGCTTGCCTGTAAAAACATAATACACTGAGAAAGTGTGTGTGCAAGTGTATGTGTACACACACATGCTGTAAACAAGATTAGGGTCTATGACACTCAGCTGGAGACGGTCAGTGGGTGAGGTTTTCTAAAAAGTCAGGGTTTAATCTTCTATTAGCTCTCATATATTGCATTCACAGTCTTGAGAGCCAAAGTCCAGTTATTTTAATAGCTTGTCTGAAAAGCTGAAACATGTGTCTGGGATTCTCAAAACTTAACCTTGTCATTCAGTTGCGCTGCGACAGACTATTTTAAGAGACCATGAAGAATTATTTAGAGCTGCCCCCTAATAGTCGACTAAATCGTTAGTCGCTGAGTAGAGTTTTAGTCGACCCACTTTTTGTTAGTCTGATAGGTGCGGGAAAACAAAAACAACAAGGGGACTGTTGATGTGCAACAGAACCGGAGAGCAGCGGACCAACAGAGGCCAGCTGATTTACATTCAGATTCATAACTGCTTTGTCCGTCAGCATTTAACATGCGCCTGTTAAAATCTATACATTTAATAATTAAATTAATATCATTAACATGCTACAACTGGTCAACTATTGGCTTTATTTAACGACTACTAGTCGACTAGGAAAGTCTTTAGTCTGGGGCAGTCCTAGAATTATTTCAGACTGTTCGTCCCCGTCACAGGCCAGGCCACACAGATTGACAGGTTGCAGGCCAGAAAAGGTAATTTCATTTCTGGACAACCATGTTTGCCTCTAACATTTGAGGATGTTCTTGTATTTGTGATTGGCCAGCTGTCCAGATTACGTGGGAGATTTCCCATTCATCACTGTAGTGAAAGCCAAGTGGAAGCAGTGGGGTAAAACAATAATCCTTAAAACAATTCTATTTTGGTGTGATCTCTTGAGGGTACATTCAACGATATTAGGGCTAAGCCTCAAGCCAGGCGATTGTGGTGTGAAGCATGTTTTTCTGCAGAGAAATAAATAAGACTACTTCTTTTTTACTTTCACAATTTGCAGATGCTTGAGAAAGAAAAGGTTAAACCAACTGTTTGGAAAAGTTAAACCAACCAAGAATACTGTTTTTAAACTAATAAACACTTTTGCAACCAAAATAAGGGTAAAAAAAAAAACGCAGGACTATATTTTCCTTTGGTAAGAATTTTTAATATAGAGATTCAGGATTAATTTGCCATTAAAAACAAATTTATAATGAACCTTAATCACTTCTTTGTCTGGGAAAGTCTGTAAACAGGTTTACCTGAGGGCAGTCAAAGCAAGTGCTCTCCCAATTAATTAGTCTGTACTAAACCTCTTTGAGGCATGAAATCATCCCAACAGCAATCCACACAAATCTCCCCCCTCAGTAAAGTTAAATTAGTCCACATGCCCTTGATTTCCAAAACCCTGCCTATGACCGCATCCAGTCACACCACGTCTCACTCATCCCCGCCCTGAGCACATACATATTCAATAAGTGCATGTGCCAATATATGTACATGTGCTGCACACATGATGTGCAATGTGAATCCTTATCTTTTTCACATCTCTCAACAGTTTATTGAAGGTGAGCAGTGATATTATTAATATGCTTGAAATAGCTATTTTCATCCCATTTGGCATAAAATCTCATCGTCACAAAAAAATATCACAAATGTTCTTAAATAAGTTGTGGAAATTTACAAATGATTGCTGTCATCAACCGAAGGTGGGGTTAATCCAGATGGTCTAATTATAATATGCACAATGAAAAGCTGCAACTACAGAACTGTCTGTCTCTGAACTCAGCTGTTTTAAAAATATGCAAATCACAAAAGAAATACTTCAAGAATAAAATGTCTGTCATTTGAGAGCAGGGGATTTAGAGACTTTGGAGACACGTGCAGAGACAGCTATCCTACTTTGAGACAACTACTTTGCAGTATGAGATCAGAGAGAAAGAAGAGGAGGAGACGAGAGCAGGAGAGACACGAATGTCAGCATCTTGCCTCCTGCAGTGGGTCAGTTACAGTCAGACCTGTAGGACAAACAGAGAACACGGAAAGTTTTGTTGGCAGGGTTTGACTTACTCTGACTGGCATAATTTATAGCATCAGTATAACATTTATACTGCAAAAGTCTGGAAAAGAAGAAATTAGATTAACAAAAGAGTTCTGACAAATAATTAGAATCTCCCGTCTTGTATTATTGAGGCATCATGCAGGTCAGTGGCTCACCGTTCCTCAAGCCCTTCTTTCTGAAGACACCTGTCAGAGTGGTCAACCCCCTGCGACAGAGACGACACACACTCCCTGCCAGCGAGTTCAGGAACCTCACGCCGCAGGATGCCATCAGTGTATTTGAAATTGAGAGAGAAGGTAAGTTTATGCTGTTTACAAACAGAATATTTTTAAAAAATTACATCCCGTATGACTAACCCGATATGTGTTTAAACACTATTTAAAGACTTGACTGAAATTCTACGTGTATGAAGTGAATAAACAGTGATTTTCATTTTGTCATTGGGAAAGGTATACATATATAATCGTAAATGCATCGCAGTATTTGATGTACAATACATTTATACATTAAATACTGCATTTGGATGTTCAATATCATCTTTGGGCCAGTTTTAATTTAAAAGACACATTTCTTTCATCTATCTTTCATGTAGTCTTTTTCTGATCTTCATCATCATGACCATCACAACCCACTGTATGAACTGGTTCCTCTTTTTATTCCCCAGCATTTGTCTCTGTGTCCGGAGAGTGTCCACTTACCCTGGATGAAGTGCTTAACTTCCTGGGTCAGTGCCCTGAGTTGTCACTGGGTTGGTTTGAGGAGGGACAGCTGGTAGCTTTCATCATTGGCTCTGGCTGGGACAAGGAGAGACTTTCACAGGTATGAAAACATAGTTACTGCAAAAAAAAGTAAAGTAAAAAAACAAAAAAAAAGAACATGCCTTTCCATGCAAATTACTTTTTATGAAACTTGCTTTGTCATCATTAATGATTCTATATAATATCTTTTATCCAGGAGGCAATGACTCAGCATGTCCCAGACACCCCCACTGTGCACATCCATGTGCTGTCAGTGCACCGTCACTGTCGCCAGCAAGGCAAGGGCTCCATCCTGTTGTGGCGCTACTTGCAGTACCTGCGCTGTATGCCGGGCCTCCGTCGAGCTTTGCTGATTTGCGAGGACTTTCTGGTGCCCTTCTACCTCAAGGCTGGCTTTAAGAAGAAAGGACCATCAGCCATCTCTGTATCCAACATGAACTTCCAAGAGATGGAGTACATGCTCGGTGGGCAGGCATACGCACGGCGGAACAGTGGCTGCTAGTCCATTAGACCCTACCCCACCCTCACTTTCCACTTACTCACCTCTAACATGGACTAACAGAAATGATGAACAAAATACAGCTGACAGATGGACAGATAGAGGCGCAGAGCCAGTATGCACCAGTGGACTGGGTTCAGTATTGGTAACAAGGTCTTACTGGACCTCCTAGTGTCAGGACCTCGCAGTGTCCCACTGAACAAGGAGTGAAGACAGTGTGAGGACAGAGGGGACCAAGAGTGGATTCATGCAAAAGAAGGAACCAGTTCATAATTTGTCTTATCAGACATTAAATTATATTCCTTCTGATACCAGTAGCATCTTGGCTTTGTGAGCTTAATGTTGTTTTTTCATTTATTGATTGTTATTTGTCAAATCATTCACAATTTACTGTTTGTAATGTAATCGAGGCAGTTAATTGTATTAAATTAAAGTATCACACCTGGAATTGTAAATACTGTTATATTTTGCTAAACCATATAAATCACAAGGTGAATTAATCTGTCATTACCGTAAAAGTGAGTTACTTAAGGATGTACATACTGATTATGCTGCCACTAAAACCACTTGGATTGTTGACTGAACATTTGTAGCAGAAATGTGTTTCTTTGTTGCATACTTTGAATAAACTATAAAACAATCTTCCACATGCATTTTCTGGTAATTGAGATAAAGTCACAGACCATTTTAATTTGTAGATTTTTTTACTGTTGTTTTCAGTTACATGTGAGTAGACAGGTAGCTAAAACACTACCATGTTCAAAACAATCATCACTTCTTGAGAAGCAATAAACAAATAAAAGAAAACATTCGAGTGCTCAGCATAATGTAACAAAAATATGGCAGTAGTTGGTACATTTATCAACAAGGCACCAAAGGTATCAATATTTGATTTTTGTCCCTGCTTCAGTATGAGGTTGCCTGAATAGTAATAAAACCTTTGTCTGGAGTGTGAATGTAAAAAAAAAAAAAAAATCCTCTCTGTACCAGCACTGGCTTCTCTAAATTCTGCCTCACATGTAAAGGCAGCTGGGAGCTTTGATGAGGTTCAGAAGTGCCATACCTTTGTTTCACTGGACAGTGAAGGAGTGACAATGACTGTCGGTGAACAGGGAGGTGATTAAAGGAAGTCCTTATGAAGTGTGGCATAGGTATTCATACAGACAGAGTGAAAAACACAAGTATACTGTCATTGTTCACAGAGAAGGGGATAGTCCCCCAGTCACACAGGGGCAGAGTGGACTGGCTGTCGGTCCACATCTTTTGACCTGATGCCATCCTGTAGTGTTCATACTATCCACACTTCAGTGGAGGTGAGCATTAAGATCGTACTTCTCGCAAAATTTGTCCGTGAAGGGGATGCAGGTGAGCAACTCGCACCAGTCACACTTGATTGGGTAGACATAGAAGAGCACCACAAGGCCCGAAAAGAGCCCAACAAACACCAGTAGGAATACAATGATCTGACAGCGCTTGCGGTACAGGTCCATGCGGCCGAAGCTGATGTAGGGTAAGAAGGCGAAGGACAGGAAGAAGCCAGAGATGAAGCCACAAATGTGGGCAAAATTGTCGATCCAGGGCAACAGCCCAAAGGCAAAGAGGAAGAGCACCACACACAGCAGTTTGGTGAAGGCCCTCCAGGGCTGGGCAAGGATCTGCCAGCTCTGAAACAACTCAACGAACAGGCAGGCCAGGATCCCAAACTGAGAGCCAGCTGGCCCCACCTGAGACAAAGATAGCAGAGAGAGACGTAAGCCTACAAAAGTATGTTCACAAAAATGTATAGCACAACTATTTGCATTATTCTGTGTTTTTAATAAACCTGATGAGAAAGCTCTGACACGTAATATGACTCAGAAATGCACTGTGATGTTTCTGCATTGATATTTCCTGAGCATTAGACTGGTGATCACCTCTGCTCTGTAGGGCAGGAAGATGGCTGAAGCCAAGTTGCCAGTTATGCCACTGAGGATGTAAATGATTGAGATGCGCAGCCAGCCTGCCAGCTTCTCCAGGTCCCTTAGGATGGTCATCTGGAAAGCCACCGACACCAGGCAGTGAAGGATCCTGGGAGGACAGAAATGGATTAAGTGCTCACGTGCGTGCAAGGTGATGTATGTGTTTGTATGTGGGTGAAAAGCCGCACGTGTTAGGAGGATAATTCCTCGGTGTAGAAGAGACAAACCCCTCAACAGCCTGATGACTATGCCCATCAACGAAATCAGTTTCAATCCCATTGAAGCTTAATGAGTTTGTGAGGGCACTTTGTTTAATTACCCAGACGACAGATAACAGACAGCATAAGAAATGAAGCACTGCTCCTCTTAAAGGCGAGGTCAGCTCTCTATGCAGACTGACAGACTTCTTATATCACAGGAATATCAAAGAACTTTAGCAAAATACTTTTTCTAGTTACGACTGATAACCAGTGATGTACATATAGCCATCCTGTGTTATATTGGGCAGCCCATATACTATTTATTCCAACATTTCACATTTTACACATAGAGTTAACAGCCAATAACCTAACCTGTAGCCACTGTATGCTTTTTGTTCGGCTGTTTATTGATTGTGTTCTGATTTCATATTTGTCTTTTATATATTAGCTGAATGTCTCTATATCTTTCAGTGTGTTAGGTTTGTTGTGACTAGAATATGAGTACACCAAGAGCTACTGACAACTGAAGTCAATTTCCTTCTATTTGTTGTGCCAAATATATGTGGCCAATAAAGCCTACTCTGATTCTGATCTTTAAATCATCCTGTTCCTCACTGCTCGGAGCAAACACAGTCCTTCAAAACACTGATCTAGAATATTAGGCTGAGGCAAAGCAAAGACTTTAAGCTCTTTAAAAAAAATTGTTTCGGCAGATCTTATCTACTATATTGTGAAAAAAATATATATTGTGTTTCTTTTGCTAGGCAAATCTTAAAATAAACAAAACTACTTTCCATGATTATGACAGCTACTGACTCACCCAGCATGTAGGAAAAGTGAGAGCCAGAGCCTGTAAAACTGATCTGGGATCTCAGGGTTGAGGAAAGGCAACAGTCCACATACATCATCCATGCAGTGCACCTGGAGAAAGACATGGGAAAGAAAAAATATGAAAGATACCATTAATGTGACTATCAAAAATCACAAATACAGAATTTCCTACACGGAAACATTCAGTGAGCTCTCACTTAAATCTGTTTTGGTATTCAGGAAGTACAAAAAATAGTACACCACAATAAAAATAGCAACAGATGCAGCACAAATTAAGTTTTGCATTAAACAGACAGTCTTCCTTTTTACCATTTGAGAATAATAAGGTAGTGTATAATAAGGAGACAGTTGCTTACTTGAGAGCAGAGAGTAGCCTCCTCATGAAAGTAGCCCTTCATGAAGTCACAATATTCCCGGGATGTGATTTCACACCTTTAAAAAAACCAAGCAGTAATTACTAAATTAGTAAACTAGTCATACATCATGTGTCTTACTTGTGTTTGTCATAGGTTCATTCATAGGCTCTTCTTACCTCCCTTTGGTTCCAATGCAGCAGGGTCGGCCTGTGATGGTACAGTCTATATGAGGCAGGTTGGTGTGGTTCCCTGTGTTGTACCTGGTACAAATCTAAAAGCCAGACCAGTTTTTTTGTTTTTAGATTACCTGTTTTGGTGGATTTGTACCATTTCATAATCTATCCCAGAGTTTGATTCAAAACAGTGCAGTATTGACTCTAAAACTAAGTTTTACTGTGTTACTCTGTGACTCCCCTCACAGACTGGTATGTTTAAACTGTACATAATACAGTTCATGAGTTTATAATACAGCAGCAGCGTTAATTCCTCCAATTATTTTATCAAGGTCAGATCATATGTGAGTGATCACCTGTGATATACACTACAGGCCAAAAGTTTGGAGGCAAGATCAAATTATCTACAAAAAAGTTAGTTTCATTGGTATACTTTGCAACAAAATAAACATGATTATTATGAGTATTAGTATTAAGATACACTTATCAGAATACATTTTTACTATGATTATCAGGTATTTGGATTTTTCTTGCTTAGACTTTGCTTTCTTCAAAGCATGGCATATACAAGGCATTCATTCCACAAGTTTTTTTAAAGGTATGTGCCAGGAATTGCATTCCAAGCTTTCTTAACCCTTGTCCACCCCTTCAGGAAATGATGATGTTTTACCCTTTGTGCAAATGTTCAGTTCCTAAAAAGTGCTATAAAAATATTATTCATGAATATTTTTTTTCACTTTCACTACATTAAATCTTTTGACCAACTTCAGTCCTGATCATAACTATTAAATGTACATGTATTTCTTAAATAATTTTAACCATTTAATGCCATTTGGGGAATAATAACCCACATGTTTTAAATGATAAAAACACAAAATATTAAATATTCTCCATATACTAAGTGCAAACTGCAATAGTCAGAAAAGCAACAGAAAAAGGCCTCAATGAAACAGCATAAAAAGGGAGCCCTCAGCCATATAGTGAAAAATGACGTCATATGATGGATAATTGAAAAAAAAATAAATAAATGTCAAGCCAAAAGCTTAGACTGAAAAGGTAGTCATATGTAATATATTGTTTTATGCTAAAAGTTGAGTAGTATTTTGAGTAGTATCAAAAATGTATGTTATAATGGGAGTCAATGGTGCAAAAAATGTCTAAAGGGTAAAAAGTGGGACTTTTTCTTCTACACAGTGTACTATAGCCCTATTATTAGATCCAAGGTTGAAATTTTAAATTTGATAAAAACTTGTAGTAACCCTCTTTCTTCGAGACCTTTTTATTATCATAACTTCCAGTTTCTTTTAGTTTCTTCAGGGTGTAGTAAACTCCTTTGTTGGACACCAATAGGCGTTTCGCAATTTCTCTTTCAGTGTATGCTTCTTTCCTCAATGTACAAAACTGTACTACTGTGTTTCTTTACTTAGCTGTTTCTTTCTAGCCATTTCTGTGGTAGTTTTTTAGAGATATGAACACAGTTGAGATTTATTTGGATTTTTGTATGCAAACTCTCAAAAGCCTAAGAGCTAAAGTGAATAATGCAAACTGTGATTTGTTTTTTACTTTTGCACTGAAGTTGTGACTCTTGCAAATCTTCTAAACCCTAAAACTAAGCCCTTCTTTTCTTTTGTTAACATTTATTCAGCAATGGTCTGGTAACATCAATGTATACCTAAAGGTAAATTGAGGAAAATGGTGCATATCAATGAA